GGGTGATCGATGTCCCAACTAATTGATTGGGACACGTACACACGCTTAACCTGTTGTTTTTTTTTTAAAGTAAAACTGAACAAACTAAAACTTTATTTAAAATATAATAAAGCAATTTTTTTTTCTATTTCACGACGTGAAAAATAAAAATTCGTCAACGCACGTCTGTCTTTAAACTCGATCTGTTAAGTAAATCTAAAGACACGTTTTTGGGTGGTAGGCTATGCAACAAATCTAACACTCGAAAGTTATTTTTAAGATTCCTTTTTTCGTAAAAAATAACTGCTGCATAAAAAGCTCTTAAAAATCAAATTACAGCTGAAAGAATCTTTTAAAATCTAGATATAAAAAAGCAAAAGTATTTATTTTCCTTTATTTAATTGTGTAGTACATACTAGTGCACATTATGATCAATCCCTTTTCTGTAAGACAAAAAAGTGTGTAGGCCTATATTTATCAACTAACGAGCTGAACTAGTCAAGTAACTTTTGACCAAAATATTTTTTTACGGTGCCACAATAAAACTGTGAGATATAGACCTACTACCTGCTTGGTTCAACTCTCGACCGCTGACCTAACTGACTAGTGACCTAACTGACAAGTGACCTAACTGACTAGTTGCTTAACTGACTAGTGACCTAACTAGTTTTACCTGCAAGAGACTGTTAGCACCAGAGAACATATTCCACTCTAGAACCAATTATTTCATTTGTCGACTTACGAATTTCTGGATCAGGAGAAAATGTCGAAATTGATAAAATACCATTATAGACAGAGGACTGACATTGATAAAAGGCCATTATAGACAGAGGACTGACATTGATAAAAGGCCGATATAGACAGAGGACTGACAACGATTAAAGGCCGATATAGACAAAAGGCTGACATGGATAAAAGGCCGATATAGACAGAGGACTGACAACGATTAAAGACCGATATAGACAGAAAACTGACAAGGATAAAAGGCCGATATAGACAGTGGACTGACATGGATAAAAGGCCGATATAGACAGAGGACTGACAACGATTAAAGGCCGATATAGACAGAAAACTGACAAGGATAAAAGGCTGATATAGACAGAGGACTGACATGGATAAAAGGCCGATATACAGACGACTGACATGGATAAAAGGCCGATATAGACAGAGGACTGACATTGATAAAAGGCCGATATAGACAGAAAACTGACAAGGATAAAAGGCCGACTTGCCACCAAAATATCTACATGATTACGCTTGATTCTAATTATTCAAATACTTATAACACAACAAAGTCAAAGAAGATTAATTCCATTTTGTATTCATGTAGACATGAATTAATTAGACAATCCAAATACAGCAGAGAAAATACGGTCAAATAGCTTCTATTGTAACCAACGCTTCGTATAGATCCCATCAAGTGGGTGCAGACGTTCCTACTTGGTTCTACATAGTTGGTGACGTCCAGCATGTTTTGACTTTGTTCTTTGATGATTTGTTCATAGTCATAGATACGCCTTTCAATCCAGGATTTACCCGTGTTTTGTAATATTTGTTAATTATCAAAGAATAAATTGTTTTTCTGCTTGTCTGCCTGAAGGATTATCTGCCGTGTGGTTTGTCGGCCTTTTGGGTATCGGCCTTTTAGCCACGTCGGCATTTCGTTCATATCAACATTTTGTCCATGTCGACCTTTCATTCTACACCCAAGTTTTTCGATGTTTTGACAAAACAATTTTTTTTTAAATTATTTTTATTAATTCCTTTATTTTTTCATTTTTCTATTTAAAAAAACGGAAACTGAAAACAAATATACCAAACATAAAGACTTCCCGGCAGAACATTTCCCTTCACTGGTTTCATCCAAATAGCCAAACAAATCAAACAACGTGTTGTCATAGGCTTCAAGCGACATAGGGCGCTGAAATTTCGCTCCACGGTTTCCGAAACTGCAACACCCTATGATGACGTCAGCCCAGTGGTTTTGTCAGATGGGGAAATTTTTGACACGACAAGTTTACATGCTCCAGACTTTTGTTCCGCTTCTCTTCAGAACAATATTTTTAATTAAATTTGCATCTATAACCCTCTAGCCGTAGGAAGCTGTGCCCACGTTTAAATTAACACCGAACAGTTTCTGAATTCTCCTTGTTTTTGGCAGTAAGTAATTGAGTCCAACAGTCTATTTGATCCGCTATCCAAGAAAAAAAAATTCTGTTTTAACTCTCTTCGATAATTTTTATGTTATTTATTATTTTTTTACTAAAACAACAACTAGACCGACTTCTATAGCTCATCAGCGCAGTTAGCCAATGAGTAATCGTCTTCTTGGTCAGGTGTTTGAGAAGTCTTCGGTGTAAACTTGGGGACCCAATGCAATAAATAATTGGCTACTTATATCAAATGGTGCAGACCACACCAATACTTCATATTCCGATGTCAAGAAACATGAAATTTTCTTCTGAAGGTTTGCAAGGAGAACTTCACTTTTTTTTTAGCTTAGGTCAAAGATTAGACGAATACAACGTATACAAGCAACTTGATGAGTTCAGCGATGGAAGATTTTTGAGCGGCGTAAAAAAATATACCCTGACTACACTCATATTCAGAAACTCGAAATAGAATAAATTATGTAAGGTTGCGATAGTTTTTATTCATAAAATGTAAGATGCATTGATCAAATATAATTACTTGTCATCTTTTAAATTTTATAAACAAAAATTGGTTTTGATCAATTCTGTCCTTGTAACTTGCTAGCGTAACTAAGTGTTCATCTATCGACAACCCACACACAATGAAAAGAAAAAGTGAAAAACGTTCGTAGAATTACAATTTGTTTTTACCTGAAATATTTTCTAAGGAGCAAATTATACCATAACGTATTGACTATCATTTTTTTAAAATCGTTGTAAGATTATTTTTTTTCGTGTCTGAGGCGAATCGAATATACGTACCTCGGCATTAAATTATGTTTCGTTTCACGCTTCATCAAGCGTGTTAATTAGTGCTGTTCAATTAATTCCTTAACTGGTTAAATAAAAGCATCAAGTTTATTGAAAATCGAATATTATGCAACAAAGCCAAATGCGGTTGAAATTGTTTAGGTCAAATTATTTATCTCGCGTAACGAACGTAATTGTTGTTCCGGTTTCAAGGTTTTCTCCAAGCGTTTCTAAAGTAAACAGAGCAATTATTTATCTCGCAACACCAACATCGCAAAGTATTGATAAGCTTCAGTAATTAAAATATAATTATACCAGACAAAGGAAAACGTGCTCATTTATTTTACGAACTGTGGGGATTGTAAACAAAATTTTAAAAAGAAATTTTTTAGAAACGTGACGACACCTCGTTAGCTGAACAAACATGGGGGTCTGTGCATCTCGCAGTGACTAACTGGATAAGACAAAAGTAGGACTTTGGTTTAATTGGATGTCGACTATGTTAGAGTTTTGATTGAAGACAAACTGGGGTTTTAAAAGGGAAATGATGATTTCGATCTTTTACTCAGTTGACAATGATAGTCTTATATTTGTCGCATTTTGTGACTACATTTTGTACATAGATAACGAGTTTCTAATTTCTAGTGTAAATGCATGCCCGATGACAACGCAAGAAAATCTAATTTTAAACGAATATGCTTTTTAGAGTTGAACTACAGGATTTTACATTTAGGATTAAAGTTAGAATTAGAAGATTAGAGGACATTATAGTTAGGTTAGAGTGTACAGCTAGATTTAGAGGACATTAAATCAGTGTTTCTTCCACACTTTTTTTCTCCGGGGGGGGGGGGGGCGGTAAAACTTTTCTTCGGGGGGGGGGGCGCGGACACTGTAAAAAGTATATATTTTCTTTATAAATTATATAAAATTTCATTTCGTTCGGGGGGGGGGGGGGGGGCGGTTAAAAAAATTGTCGGGGGGCTTTTGCCCCCCCCCCCCCCCCCCACAGAGATGCCTGGAAGAAACCTCTGCATTAAATCTAGGTTTAGTGTTTGGACAACATGACTGTAAAGGTTAGTTTCGCATAACATGGGCAAGGTTTAGAGTTGCGGATACCATGTAAAAAACTAAGGTTAGGAGTGCGAGATATCTAAGTTCAATATAGTATTTTACAAGAATAATTTATTCTCCTCTATCCGCGGTATAGTAATGTTCGAATCCCTACTGTCGGTCGACGAATACGATACCTACGTTAAATTTTTGTAGCTAGATTTAGGAATGAAGTATCATTGAATATCATCATGGCCTTTTTATTGTAGTGTACGATGCAGCGTTTTTAAAAGAATCTTTTCTAAATATCTTTTCAATATTTTTGTATTATGTATTTTAAAAAAAAAAAACAATATAACATGTGAGTCAAAGAGGCATACCGACCCTGCCCCGAAAATTTTTTACCGCCCCCCCCCCCCCCCGGACGAAATGAAATTTATAATAATTTATATAGAAAATATATGTGTCCGCCCCCCCCCCCCGAAGAAAGTCTACCGCCCCCCCCCCCCCCCCGAAAATTTCAAGTGCCCCCCCCCCCCCCCCGGAGAAAAAAGTCTGGGAAGAAACACTGGCACCCACTCTCATCAATTTTCAAAGGTCGGAGGCGTATTTTATCGTCCACTGTCCCTTAACAGTTTTTATTTGGGTGTAACACAACTGGTGTAGAAAAGGGTTAAGTTTGTCTACAAAGCCAAGTAGCAGTCTATTTTCTTAATTTTTGGTCGTGTATAATTAAGTAATGCGGCTCAAGTTGAGCTTTTTTTAATTGTTTCCCATCCTGGCGCCCCCCTTTGGTTCGGTACCGGGCGACCACCCACCCTCCTCCCCTTAGCAGCGCCTCCTGACGTGAGTATAAACAAAATAATTTTAAAAATTTAAAAAATTTTCTTTCGCATGTTCATATATTGGAAGTAATCAACTACAACGAGACTGTTCTTGAGTGTAAAAATACTTTGATTTTGATCCGTTCCAACACCTACTTCATCTTTTTATATTTGTGTTTATTATTACAGGACTTGACCGGAACCAATGAATCAGTCCGGCATCGTCGTCAGCGTCGTGTCCGGCATCGCCAGCGATGCGGACCGTGACGCATACGGCGTCGCCCTCTCCGTCGTCTCCAGCATCGTGTGCACCTTCGGCACCTTGGCCAACGCCGTCAACGTCATGGTCTTCCTCCGGCAGGGCGTGTCAGACACGGTGACAATCAGCTTCCTGACTTTGTCTTTGAGCGATTTCGGCGTCACCATCACGATGATCGGGGTCGGGTTGTGTTTCAGTCCTCTTGTTGTGAATGCAGGTTTCCCCGTGAATACGTTTGATCTTTCCTATATCATAGGCTGGACTCATATCGTTTTTGCGCGAATTTCTAGTGGAATCACAGCTTTCGTCTCTTTTGAGAGATGCCTCTGTATCGCTATGCCGCTTAAGGTTAAGTCTATCATCACAACGACGCGGGCCTACATCATCCTGACCGTTATCACCATCATCATGACTTTGAGCACCGTTCCTGTTTTCTATACAAGCCGCATGGCCTGGACCTTCGACCGAAACACCAACCGCACCATCCTCAGCATGATTTTTACCGACGATCGGGATTTCGTTGATGGAATCTCTTTCGGGCATCAACACCGTCTTTCTAATCCCGTTAATCTTCATCTGCACCGTCATCTTTGCAATGATCCTAACCGTTAACCTTAACCGTAAAGCGAAATGGCGGGAATCAGTAGCAAGTTCTAAAATCGGAGCGGACGCCAAACCGGAAAGAGGAACAGTTTTATCCACCAAAGACAGAAGAGCGGTTAAAATGGTGGCGCTAATCTCAGTCGTGTTCATTGCGTGCTTCGCGCCGGATATCATGACTGTTTTTCACGGCCATTATCGTCCCAGAATTCAATGTCGGCATGCGCGAACAGAATTTGCTATTTATAACCGGGACCTTCACCCTTCTCCTGCAGGCTGTAAATTCGTCTGTTAGTATTTTCATCTACTACAATATGAGCTCGAAGTATAAGAAAACCTTTATGGAACTTTTTTCCTTGTGTTTTTAAGGTTAATCCCAACTCAGTGTAACGACACTGTGTTTCGGTTTATTCAATGCGTTTATGGATAAGAAAAGATAAGAAAAATTAACAAATACGACAAGCGTTTAAACACTCTAACTATAAAACTGTGTTTTGCTATGTTGATAAACTGCAGCATGAAAATGAAGAGAAAAAAGCAACTCGTTATTTAGACCATCCCGTGACCTATATTTTTTGACCGTCTATATGGTAAAGATGTCTACCAAAAACAGCCAGTATATTAACATTAGATAGTGTTTGTGTGGAACTTGTATTAGGTGCGTTTTTCGACTGAAGCCTTTTGGTCGTGGACCTTAGTGACAGGAGCTGTTTTGTCGGGAGTGATATTGTTGAGAGCCATTTGTCGGAGGCCCAACTTGCTGAAACCACTAAGTCGCGGACATTTTGATGTGGCCCGTCTAAATGGTCGATTAGACGAGGTTGATCGCAGTGTTTCTTCCAGACTTTTTTCTCCGGGGAGGGGGGTAGACCTTTCTTTGGGGGGGGGGGGGGGGGCGGACACTGTTAAAAGTCTATATTTTCTATATAAATTTCATTTCGTTCGGGGGGGGGGGGGGCCTTTCGCGCCCCCCCCCCCCCCCCCCGAAGAGATGCCTGGAAGAAACTGGTTGATCGGACGGGTCCTAACGGCAAAAAGTTTTAGCTAGATCCTTTCCTATTTTCCCGCACTAGCAATATTTAGTTGATTTAGATACATAAATCATCAAGGACGCCATCCATAAGTGACGTCACGTTTCTTTGACGATTTTAAAAAAAAAAACCTCCCACTGGCCCCTCCCCGTTGTCACAAATAGCATATCCCCCCCCCCTCCCCGCCCTTAAATGACGTCGCACCTCAGTCTACTCTCAAACCCCCTAAAAATTGCAGTTTTGTCTTTAAAACATCGATATAGATTATGTAGCGTATATTAGTCCCTTTCTATTACAATTCAAATCAACAGCCTAAAGATCACCTTGTGAAAAAAAACATGATTTGATTATTTTGGCTAATTAAATTACTTTTAAAAAGTGTGTACTTTCTGTCCTTTCGTATATTTACAAGCTTAAATATATATATATATATATATATATATATATATATATATATATATATATATATATATATATATATATATATATGTGTATACATGTGTCGGCCTACAATTTAAATATATGCTGCATACGTGTATGTGCATAAGCTTTAATCACTGCAGACCTAACAGTAACGATGTTTGCCGATCTATGGTCAGTTAATAATAAAGTACTATGTAGCATTGTTTTATCTACAGTTAGCACGTTTATGTCATGGTGTCATCCCCACCGCCCTTGTCGGGATTGCTGAACTCTACTGTAAAGACTATCCAACTTTTATTTATAAACTAGCGTACCCGTCCCCGCGCGTTGTCGCGTGAATAGTAGTCCGACGAAATATATAAGAAGGGTTTCATTCAGAGGCGTAGCGACCCTTCCCGGCGCCCGGGGACAAACTTACACCCCCCCCTTCAAGATTTCGATTTGCACCCCCCCACTCAACCTTTCAATTTATTTTTCCAACCCATTTTGGCGCCCCCTAAAGTCGGCGCCCGGGGACATATGTGGGATGGTATAATAGTGTGATGGTAAAGTGGTTAAGAGTAATGGTAAAGTATGATGGTAAGGTGAATAAGAGTAATAGTAAAGTGTAAGATACTTAGTGATAAAGTGTGATGGTAAATTGATTAAGTGTGATGGCAAAGTGATTAAGTAACATGGTAAAGTGATTAAGTAACATGGTCAAGTGATTAAGTAACATGGTCAAGTGATAAAGTAACATGGCAAAGTGATTAAGTAACATGGTCAAGTGATTAAGTAACATGGTCAAAAGATTAAGTAACATGGTCAAGTGATTAAGTAACAAGGTCAAGTGATTAAGTAACATGGTCAAGTGATTAAGTAACATGGTCAAGTGATTAAGTAACATGGTCAAGTGATTAAGTAACATGGTCAAGTGATTAAGTAACATGGTCAAGTGATTAAGTAACATGGTCAAGTGATTAAGTAACATGGTCAAGTGATTAAGTAACATGGTATAGTGATTAAGTAACATGGTCAAGTGATTAAGTAACATGGTCAAGTGATTAAGTAACATGGTATAGTGATTAAGTAACATGATCAAGTGATTAAGTAACATGGTCAAGTGATTAAGTAACATGGTCAAGTGATTAAGTAACATGGTATAGTGATTAAGTAACATGGTCAAGTGATTAAGTAACATGGTCAAGTGATTAAGTAACATGGTATAGTGATTAAGTAACATGGTCAAGTGATTAAGTAACATGGTCAAGTGATTAAGTAACATGGTCAAGTGATTAAGTAACATGGTCAAGTGATTAAGTAACATGGTCAAGTGATTAAGTAACATGGTCAAGTGATTAAGTAACATGGTCAAGGGATTAAGTAACATAGTCAAGTGATTAAGAGTTAAGGAAAGTGATTAAAAAAATGTAACTGTAAAAAATGAAGTAAAACTTGATAAAGTAGCAAAAAATAACATTTTTATTTTAAATATTCATTTCAAAACGTGAAATTAAACATGCTATTCAATCAGAACTTACTTACGAAAACAAATCATCATTAAAACATAGCAGTAGTCATACAGAAGAATCTTAGTACAAAGTTTCAATAAGCATAATGAAAAGTGCTTACAATAATTAAATGTCATTAAACGTAATAAATTTAGAAAATTCTGGCTGCTACTTGAGGGCTTACAGAGAGTGGGCTGTAACATACACACATACATTCATACACATATACACTCACATATATGCATAGATATACATATATACATACATACATATACACACATACATACATATATACAAAAATATATATTCATATATATATATATATATATATATATATATATATATATATATATATATATATATATATATATATATATATATATACATTTTAAAAATAATTATATTTATAATTGTGCAGAAAAATGCAAAAGCATAGTAATAAGTGCATAACTGTGGGAGACAAAGATCAAAAAGATCATTGATCTGGGACAATCATTGGCTTACAGGAGCTAGGCCCACCATTCTAGATCACAAACCTGTGACTCCTCTCCTGAAAATGATCTCTCAGAGTTTCTGGATTTTGTAGCTTTTGGCGAAAAGAGAATTGCCATCCCAGGAAACTGTGCAAAGTTTTTTCTTTATCACAAAGGAAACTCCTTGGGAGAAACAATACAACAAATACTCGTCAAATTTATTTTGTATTATTGTTTACAAATCTAAAAAATAAATAATAATAATAAAAGTATTAAAAATTATATATATCTATAATATAAGCCGCTAGCAGAGGTGTAGCGAGGAGGGGGGGGGGGGGGGGGCAAGGGGTGCGGAGCGCACGGTCGACACCATTTAGGGGGTAAACACCAAGGCAAAAAATAGCAAAATATATAGAGAAAAATGATAATTCCACTTAATTAAGTGATTAATTCGAGTGATAAAAAGTCTTTTAAGAGGTGCAAATAGAAAATTTGAGGGGATGGGGGGGGGGGGGGGGGGGGGGGAAGGAGGGGGGGGGGGCGGGTGCAAATCGAAAATTGAAAGTTTGTCCCCGGGAAAGGTCCACCATTAAGTGCCGCACCGGGTGACACCTGACCTCGCTACGCCACTGGATGCTAGTGGTATTTCAGTATTTCCATCCTTCTGTCACTAGTATACCCTCTTTGTCTTTGCTAATAGAGCCAGTGAAGGCGTTGTGCCTGGGAAAGGGGGTTCTCCCTAGAGCGTCAGTGCCTAGGGAAACAGGGTGCTTGGCTGCGGATTAGATTACGTGCAGGTTGGAGGAGGAGGGAAATCTAGGCGAACAGAGTATGCAGGGATCTAATGGAATTAACAAGGTGCTACATACCTATTTGAATCCTTTAAATATAGGTGCCGGTATCTGTTGAAAAAAAAATGATTGCTTATGTTTACAACGGTCAGATGTTTTGTTTTGGGGCATGGGTAAGAGAGGGAAAAAACACTCATCAATAATACTTTGATGTCATTTTTCCATAACCACACATTTTTTAAGTAATTGGTAAATGTTCTAGAAAGATAAGCAGAGTTTCATCCAGGCATCTCTTGGGGGGGGGGGGGGGGGGGGGGCTCCCCCCCCCATCAAAATGGAAAATTGTCAGAGATGTGACTATATACAGAGTTGGTGGACTCAATACTGAATTACGACCTGAAAGCACTTTATGAGATATATTAAGAAGTTATTTCACCATATTGATGTATTGAGATCTATACAACCTATAATTAAACAACATAATTTTCAAGCAACTTTGTGTATTTAATAATTATTTATTTAATATTATCTGAGTTAAAGGCTGCACTCAATAATGGCACTTGTATAATTATTGATTAGATATTAAATTCTGAGTTTATTTAAGAATCTAGTGTATACTAGTTGAGTTATTCTGGAGCTATTTCTTGTGGAAAACAAGATACTGGCTATAGTTCCAGATGAACCATTTCTAAACTGAGCATACACTGCCTGTTCATCATTGAAACTAGAGAGAGTAGAGTTTATGAAAAAAGGTAAGAAAAACCTGAATCAGTCCGGCTAATCTTGGTTCCAGAATTTGTAACTGCGGGTTGTTTCTTATTTATTAAGCCCACAACTGATACACGGTTTCCATAACCCTCAGCAGCCATGTTCTTCTTATCCCAAAAACTGATGGACCCTCGACTCAGGGTGGATATGTCAGAGACTGTGGATGCCCTTTGCTGATTCTCAAGTGATTTTATGGATGCCCTTCGCTGATTCTCAAACAATTTTATGGATGCCCTTCGTTGATTCTCAAGCGATTTTATGGATGCCCTTTGCTCATTCTCAAGCGATTTTGTGGATGCCCTTTGCACATTCTCATCTGGTACTTCAAAAAGGCTGGTAGACAAGGTTGTAATATAAAACAAAACAAAACCATGTTAGAAAACTATTATTACTATTATTCAAATATTAGAAAACTGATTACATTTATAATAAGTAATTCTCTAGAGAGTTCTAATTACCATCATGGAATATTAACTGGGTCTAGTTCTTCTAAGATTGAGGGGGCAATTGCAGGGGGGTTATTGACTGAGGAGGAGTTGCTCAAGAGCCAGTTGTTTAGTAATTAAAAAATTATTTCTGACTTACGAATAAACTGGTTTATACTGAGATGCTGAAGACATTGTCGAAGATCTCCGTGAAGATCTTTGTGAAAATCTGCGATGAAATGATGGAAATCGGTATTGGGATGCGATTGAATACCTTTGAAGTAATTCTTCAAACTAATCAAAGACAAGAAAATATTTAATACATTTCTAACTTCAGTAAAAGTAATCAAGACAAAGAAAATATTTAATACACTTCTAACTTCATTAAAAGTAATCAAGATAAAGAAAATATTTAATACATTTCTAACTTCAGTAAAAGTAATCAAGACAAAGAAAATATTTAATACATTTCTAACTTCAGTAAAAGTAATCAAGATAAATGTTGGCTGGTACCAAATTGTTGATTTTTAAGTAAGCATGTTGGCTCGTACTACATTGTTTATTTTTAAGTAAAATGGTAACTTGGGTGCTTATTAAAGGGGCTAAGGTGACTAGGACTAGTTACGGAAACCCAAGGGGTTAATTTAAGATATTGGGGATGAGCAGGCCAGGGGAAATCTAAAATTTAATTAAATGTTATCGGCTCACTCTGGTCGTTAAGGGCCACGAGCTCTATGCAGGTGCATGAGTGGCACGTAATGCTGGCAAGACACCCGCGGTGATTTATGTCTAAAGTTGAGTTCGGACATGCCGCTGGACGTCCCGGTAGAATCATTACTCATGATCTCTGTTGTGGTCAGTTGTCAGGTGTGAAACGCGGCGGGAGTACCGCGTGGTCGTGCGTTAGCTCGAGCGGTGTATGACACGATCGTTAGCCCTGAGACAACGTGAAGATCTATAGCGGTCAGTTATTGGGTGTGCAACGCATGGGTGCATAGTGACCGGTGTGATCTCGAACGTCGAGAGATGGGACGGAGCCCAACTCGGGTTCTATAGCTCTAGGGAGATGATAAGGGGGGTGAGACTAACCTATATATGAGGAAGGGCGACTATGTTGAGCTCTCTTTCTCTGACAGACACATAGGCTAGACACGATGGTCTAGGCCTCGGATGGTGGCAGCCTTATGGCTGGCCACTAAGGCTGGATTATTGTCCCAGCCGATGTTTTGTTGCTGTACATAGGCCTATGTGTTTGGTTCCAGATATTTACATGTGTGACCTGATGTTTATACATGTGGCCAATGTTGTACCAGTGGCCAAACGTTTGCCGTGTAGATATGTTCTTCGTTCCAGTGGCCATTATCTTTGTGGCCCGATGTTTGTACCAGTGGCCAAATGTTTTATTCCAGTGGCTGGAAATTTTCCTGCCGTGTAGATATGTTCTTCGTCCAGTGGCCATTATCTTTGTGGCCCAATGTTTGTACCAGTGGCCCAATGTTTTATTCCAGTGGCTGGAAATCTCCCTGCCACTTGAGTGTCGAGCTAGATTGTTGTGAGTACTGATGAGTATTCATAGATGAACTTTAACCGTGTTTGATTAGTGGAATCAGAATTAGTGATGATAACATTTACCCGTGTGATTCTGGGATTACATAACAGTGCAAGTAGTAAAGTTAGAACTAGAGACGATGCCTTTTACGTTTTTGATTTTGAGATTACATAGCAGTACAAGTGAAATTAGGACTAGAAAGAATAACTTTGACAAGTGTGATTCTGAGATTACATAAGCAGTGCAAGTATTTAAGTTAGGACTAGAGGATATGACATGTGTGAATTCTGAGTTGTGTAAATGTAGATTTGCTATTCACACTTATATATGTGTTTTCTATAAATTAATGTCAGTTACCACGGTGACTAATTCTGCATTGAAATGTAAGTTTGACTATTTTTGTCTTTTTGACTTGTATTAGAAATTCAAGTGATGTTTTCTTGAATATGAAAGACTGGCCAGGTCTTATTGGTATTGTGTCTTTGCTTTTAACATATAAACATTTGTGACGTCAAACAAAGGTAAATAAATGCATATTATGTGTGTTTACTATGTTTTATTTTTAGTTTAATATTGGTGTTGTTTAGATTTTAATTAGTTTTGCTCAGGTCTTATTAGACCCCTTTGTCACCACGCAAAGGTGCACGGATGAGGGAATAAGATCACCTCTTCGGTTTAAACCCCCCTAACATTTGGTGTCAGAAGTAAGATAGAAGATATCTATTTCTCGAAGAACCCCTAACATAAAGAAAATATTTAATACATTTCTCACTTCAGTAAAAGTAATCAAGACAAAGAAAATATTTAATACATTTCTCACTTCAGTAAAAGTAATCAAGACAAAGAAAATATTTAATACATTTCTCACTTCAGTAAAAGTAATCAAGACAAAGAAAATATTTAATACATTTCTCACTTCAGTAAAAGTAATCAAGATAAAGAAAATATTTAATACATTTCTCACTTCAGTAAAAGTAATCAAGACAAAGAAAATATTTAATACATTTCTCACTTCAGTAAAAGTAATCAAGATAAAGAAAATATTTAATACATTTCTCACTTCAGTAAAAGTAATCAAGATAAAGAAAATATTTAATACATTTCTCACTTCAGTAAAAGTAATCAAGACAAAGAAAATATTTAATACATTTCTCACTTCAGTAAAAGTAATCAAGATAAAGAAAATATTTAATACATTTCTCACTTCAGTAAAAGTAATCAAGACAAAGATTATATTTAATAAGTCAATTTACATGACTGTATTATCCTAGCACTAAGTCAACTTACATGACTGTAACATCCTCCTACAAGACCTAGCACTAAGTCAACTTACACGACTGTAACATCCTCCTACAAGACCTAGCACTAAGTCAACTTACATGACTGTAACATCCTCCTACAAGACCTAGCACTAAGTCAACTTACATGACTGTAACATCCTCCAACAAGACCTAGCACTAAGTCAACTTACATGACTGTAATATCCTCCTACAAGACCTAGCACTAAGTCAACTTACATGACTGTAATATCCTCCTACAAGACCTAGCACTAAGTCAACTTACATGACTGTAATATCCTCCTACAAGACCTAGCACTAAGTCAACTTACATGACTGTAATATCCTCCAACAAGACCTAGCACTAAGTCAACTTACATGACTGTAATATCCTCCTACATGACCTAGCACTAAGTCAACTTACATGACTGTAACATCCTCCAACAAGACCTGGCACTAAGTCAACTTACATGACTGTAATATCCTCCTACAAGACCTAGCACTAAGTCAACTTACATGACTGTAATATCCTCCTACAAGACCTCGCACTAAGTCAACTTACATGACTGTAATATCCTCCTACAAGACCTAGCACTAAGTCAACTTACATGACTGTAATATCCTCCAACAAGACCTAGCACTAAGTCAACTTACATGACTGTAATATCCTCCTACAAGACCTGGCACTAAGTCAACTTACATGACTGTAATATCCTCCAACAAGACCTAGCACTAAGTCAACTTACATGACTGTAATATCCTCCTACATGACCTAGCACTAAGTCAACTTACATGACTGTAACATCCTCCAACAAGACCTAGCACTAAGTCAACTTACATGACTGTAATATCCTCCTACATGACCTAGCACTAAGTCAACTTACATGACTGTAATATCCTCCTACAAGACCTAGCACTAAGTCAACTTACATGACTGTAATATCCTCCTACAAGACCTAGCACTAAGTCAACTTACATGACTGTAACATCCTCCTACAAGACCTAGCACTAAGTCAACTTACATGACTGTAACATCCTCCTACAAGACCTAGCACTAAGTCAACTTACATGACTGTAACATCCTCCTACAAGACCTAGCACTAAGTCAACTTACATGACTGTAATATCCTCCTACAAGACCTAGCACTAAGTCAACTTACATGACTGTAACATCCTCCTACAAGACCTCGCACTAAGTCAACTTACATGACTGTAACATCCTCCTACATGACCTAGCACTAAGTCAACTTACATGACTGTAATATCCTCCAACAAGACCTCGCACTAAGTCAACTTACATGACTGTAATATCCTCCTACAAGCACTAAGTCAACTTACATGACTGTAATATCCTCCAACAAGACCTAGCACTAAGTCAACTTACATGACTGTAACATCCTCCTACAAGACCTCGCACTAAGTCAACTTACATGACTGTAACATCCTCCTACATGACCTAGCACTAAGTCAACTTACATGACTGTAATATCCTCCTACAAGACCTAGCACTAAGTCAACTTACATGACTGTAATATCCTCCTACAAGACCTAGCACTAAGTCAACTTACATGACTGTAATATCCTCCTACAAGACCTCGCACTAAGTCAACTTACATGACTGTAATATCCTCCTACAAAACTAAGTCAACTTACATGACTGTAATATCCTCCTACAAGACCTCGCACTAAGTCAACTTACATGACTGTAACATCCTCCTACAAAACTAAGTCAACTTACATGACTGTAATATCCTCCTACAAGACCTAGCACTAAGTCAACTTACATGACTGTAACATCCTCCTACAAAACTAAGTCAACTTACCATAGCAGAGTTCCTGTACAGTGACATTCTTCTGTCATAAATCGTTTCTTGGATCTCCTTCTCTTCTGACTCAATGCGATCCTAACATAATGATAAATTTTTAAAATTGAAGTCAACATTAAAAAAACGTTTCTTCTTCTTCTTCTTCGTTCTTAATTATTAGTGTTGAAGGGGATTGAGATTTATCTGCCAGTGGGTTTGAACTCGAGACTGTTCGAATGTATCAACCATGAGCTTTTTGCCGACTAGACCACACCTCCAACACAATTAAGCGTTACGTGTCAACTGGTTATGCGCCATTGAGGCCATTGACTCCGATTTCAGCCTGCTTTTCTTTTTGGATTTGCTTCCATAGCCTTTGTCCAACCAAGAACAAACTACAAGGCAGCAGTTGTTTAATTTTGGAGTTGTCTCTCCTAGAAGAGTGGCTGTCCCCAGGTAACGAGCCTCATCTGCCCGAGGGCTCGAACTCGAGACTTTTCGGTTTGGCAACCATGAGCTTTACCGACTCGACCACGCCGACCCCCTAAAAAAAGGTTTAATTGATGTCAACATCCACACAACACATAAGGTCACATCCTGACAACTGAGTATTATCCATTTTATAACATCATAATACCACACCCCCCCCCCCCTCTTCCTAGACATCTATTATCCATTCGATACCATTTTAAGTTTTTTTCACCTGTTCCAAGACCTTTGAGTACTAGGAGAAATGGTAGTCAGAGGCGTAGCAACCCTTCCCCGCGCCCGGGGACAAACTTTCCATTTGCAACCCCCCCCCCTCGAACTTTTCATTTGCACCCCCCCTCAAACTTTCAATTGGCGCCCCCCCTAAGGTCTGCGCCTGGGGACATATGTCCCCCCCCCCTCCACCCCCCCCCCCCCCCCTCGCTACGCCTCTGATGGAAGTGGAAGCAATTTCCTAAATAATAAAAGAAAGATGTCTTAAGAATGAATCCAGATAAGGCAGAATGGCGCTAAACTGGACACCTCAGGAAAAAAAAAAGAAAGCATGGAAGGCCAAGGGAGATGTGGAGGCACACAGCGGAGAAGCAGCTGGCAGAGGCAGGACTGTCTTGAAGGACTGCCAGGAAAATTGCAGGAGGCAGGCAAAAGTGGAGGGAGTTTTTTTTATCGCGGGGCCCATGTGTCTTGGGCACACACAAAAAAAACAATGATTGCGAGTGTTATCCACTCTACACCATCCAGACCATTATATAGGACCCAGATCATTATCCCAATTTCTTCTGACCATCATCCAACAAAAAACTTACAAAATGATTACAGAAGAGCATGGCTGGTATCCAGAATACAGATGCAAATATTATGATAACAAGCACCATATTAGAAAGCATGAAAGATCCTGGAAAACAAAATGGAAGAAACTTTAGAACATTGGTTCAATTTTACAAAACAGCATTTTTTTAAAGGGCCTGCAAGGGCATTGGTTTTTATAGGAACAGTGTATTTTACTTAAGCCATTTTTTTTTGAGCAAGTATTCTCATTTAAAACTGACATTCTTCTTCAGAGCCAGTTTTCTATTAAACAATCAGTGTTCTTTTTCAAAACCACCGCTTTTTTCGCCATTGTTTTTCTTTTTGAGCCGGCATCTTCTTGAGATCTATTGTTCTATTTTAAGCCAGTTTTTTTTTGAGCCAGCATCTTTTTAAAGATCTATTGTTCTATTTTAAGCCAAATTTTTTTTTTAGAGCTAGCTGTCATTTTTAGGGCCAACATTCATTATTAAGCTGAATCAAGGTTCTATACTTAGAACCACTACTTCGAGTAATATGTTTGAAATTAAATAATAACAGTACACAACATGGGAGCAGGGCATTGCATCCCCCCCCCCCCTCTCCAGGAGCAATTAGTGTTAGAATTGTAGGGTCAGCTATAGGTTTGTGGTTGGGGTTATGGTTCTTTAGTTGTTTTTTTTTTTGGGTGGGGGGGGGGGGGGGGGGGGGGGGGAATTGACAGGGTGGTAATGACTCCAAGGGGGAGGGGGGGGGGATGTCCAGGGGGAGGATATCCAGGATGAGGATTTGACAGGGGCAATGTCCATGACCCACACAAGACTTACTGATTCCAGACTTTTCAATGGAGTTTATGTAAGAAAACAATCTGTTCACGGTGGAAGTGATTTTACTGGTACAAACTCCTGCCTATAACAAAAAGAGGCTTTCAGTGTTGATTTTTACTTAAATTTTGTACAGAAAATTAGTGTCTATCTACTCGAGTCAAACAAAGGAAATAACTTTCTGGAGAAAAAAAAAATGACTAAGCATTTTAAAAACCCTAATGGGAGCCAAAGCAGGGAGTGTTTTTAAACTTACCGTGCAGTGTCCCACATAACAGGCAGTGCCGTCTCTAACTATGTCATCCTTGATAGGCTTACACACACTGTTTTCTTCTGATACATTGAAGCAGCAAAACTGGCAGGCACTGATACCTACAGTGGGAAAGGGGGGGGGGGGGGGGGGGGGGGGGGTCGGGGGGAAGGAAACAGAAAAGCTCTATAATAAAGCAAGTTACCTCCCCTAAACTTTCTTGAATATTTTTAGAAATATAATAGAATTGCATATAAAAAAAATTTAAACCAAAATGAATCCAAAATTTGTGTATAAAAGAGCGGAAAATAAATGCTTTATAAGAAAAAACAATTATCTTTAAAAGGTTAATTAAACATCTAATTAAGTCACATTTTAAGTCAATATGCATTGTTAAGTCTTGACCTACATGAAAAGTTTGAAAGCAATTGGTCCATTAAGTGTGGTCAAAATTTTGCTTGCAAGTTTCCGCCCATTACATAAGATAGGGGAATTAATATAGAAAAATTCTTCCAGTTTTTATAAGAAATCAAAAATAGTATAAAGTATTAATTCTGGAAATCAGAAATCACTCAAAATTTGGCAGAAACCAGTTAAGATCTTTTACCTATGTATGAAATTTTCTCAACCTACTCATCTGTATTTAAAATAAACCGGGAGTGATCTCCCCTAAACTTTCTCGAATATTCTTATATAAAATAACAGGGGATGGGAACTCGGGCTATAGACATGATTTTTAATCCATTTTAAATACTTAAAGTTTTAAAAATAGAATAAAATCTTGTAGACAAATTAATTGCACACCAAGTGAACGCCAAATAAAAAAGCGCATAATAGTGCGTAATATTATTAGTACTTCTAAAATTTACATTAGTTTTTTGAGAAATCGAAAGTAGCGTAAATTACTACTTCCAGTCAACGGAAATTACTCAAAATTTAACAGAAGGTAGAGAATTAGATCTTTTACTTACATCTGAAATTTCATGTATCTATCTGAAATAGTACTCAAGTTATAGGCTTTTGAAAAATTCAAAGTAGGAAAAGTACCACTTCCGGTTATCGAAAATCGCTCAAAAGTTGATACGGATCTACGATTTTGATAAAATACTTATATATGAAATGTCATCAACCTAGCTGTAACGGTACTCAAGTAATCGTGTTTACACGCGGACAGACACACAGACACACACACAGACATACGGACAAGATTGCAAAATTATGTTTTTTCCGTATCAGTGAGGTGTAAAACGTCGAGATTTGTAAAAATCTCGATTTTTTTTTTTGCACGATTACAATACTTTCTCTATACTTCGTATATACGAGAAAGTAAAAAAAATAGAGTACACTTCCGGATACTGGTGGGCAGGCAGGAAGATAGGCATATGGATTGTGGAATGGTTAAGCTGAAAAGCAATGACTTAGGGGGACTGAATAAAGTGATCTTCAACACAAAATTTTAAAAAATGCCCTTAAAGACCCAATTAGGAAAGAACACGTAGAATTTATCTGTTTTCTGAGCTTGGCACATGAAAAGATCGGGAGGTCAGTGTTGACAAAAGCTTAGGCAACATTAGAAATAGGTCTACGATAGGCAAAATAGTGTAGAAAGCCATTGGTCAAGTTGTTGAAGTAGGTAGGATAGTAAGAAACAAAATGAGAAGTGAAATGATATCACAGTCAGTTGGTCAGTTAAACAAAAGATAGCCGGTTAGGAGACGGTTGAGCGTTAGCAGCACTTGAGACTGTGGAGCGGTTAGGTTACAAATATGGGGTAGATTGTTAAGTAGCTAAAAGTTAGATTACGACGTCGTTTGACCTACTTATTTATATCGTTGCCTTGGTAATCATGTCTTACAAAAAAGAAGATTTTACCTGAACTTCTGCAGAGACAGGCTTGTAAAGTGAAATTCTCAGTGATAGATTCTAATTCGCAGACATCCTTACATTCACCTTTGTAACACTTGGCACTAGAAAATGTACAAGTTATTAGCTCTGGTTGATTGGTAATAAGTGCTTAATAAATAATCAGCATCAGCATATTTTTAGATCTAATATTTAGTTAGGGTGGTAGATCAGTAGGATAGCTGGTCACTAGGTTGGCTGGTCACTAGGTTGGCTGGTGACTAGGTTGGCTGGTCACTAGGTTGGTTGGTGACTAGGTTGGTTGGTGACTAGGTTGGCTGGTCACTAGGTTGGCTGGTGACTAGGTTGGCTGGTGACTAGGGTATCTGGTCACTAGGTTGGCTGGTCACTAGGTTGGCTGGTCACTAGGGTATCTGGTCACTAGGTTGGCTGGTGACTAGGTTGGCTGGTGACTAGGTTGGCTGGTCACTAGGTTGGCTGGTCACTAGGTTGGCTGGTCACTAGGTTGGCTGGTCACTAGGATATCTGGTCACTAGGTTGGCTGGTCACTAGGTTGGCTGGTCACTAGGTTGGCTGGTCACTAGGGTATCTGGTCACTAGGTTGGCTGGTCACTAGGGTATCTGGTCACTAGGTTGGCTGGTGACTAAGTTGGCTGGTCACTAGGTTGGCTGGTCAATAGGTTGGCTGGTCACTAGGGTATCTGGTCACTAGGTTGGCTGGTCACTAGGGTATCTGGTCACTAGGTTGGTTGGTGACTAAGTTGGCTGGTGACTAGGTTGGCTGGTCACTAGGTTGGCTGGTCACTAGGTTGGCTATCACTAGGTTGGCTGGTGACTAGGTTGGCTGGTCACTAGGTTGGCTGGTCACTAGGTTGGCTGGTCACTAGGTTGGCTGGTCACTAGGTTGGCTGGTCACTAGGATATCTGGTCACTAGGTTGGCTGGTGACTAGGTTGGCTGGTGACTAGGTTGGCTGGTCACTAGGGTATCTGGTCACTAGGTTGGCTGGTCACTAGGGTATCTGGTCACTAGGTTGGCTGGTGACTAAGTTGGCTGGTCACTAGGTTGGCTGGTCAATAGGTTGGCTGGTCACTAGGGTATCTGGTCACTAGGTTGGCTGGTCACTAGGGTATCTGGTCACTAGGTTGGCTGGTGACTAGGTTGGCTGGTCACTAGGTTGGCTGGTCACTAGGTTGGCTGGTCACTAGGTTGGCTGGTCACTAGGTTGGCTGGTCACTGGGGTAACTGGTCACTAGGTTGGCTGGTCACTAGGTTGGCTGGTCACTAGGTTGGCTGGTGACTAGGTTGGCTGGTCACTAGGTTGGCTGTCACTAGGTTGGCTGGTCACTAGGGTATCTGGTCACTAGGTTGGCTGGTCACTAGGGTATCTGGTCACTAGGTTGGCTGGTGACTAGGTTGGCTGGTGACTAGGTTGGCTGGTGACTAGGTTGGCTGGTCACTAGGGTATCTGGTCACTAGGTTGGCTGGTGACTAGGTTGGCTGGTGACTAGGTTGGCTGGTCACTAGGTTGGTTGGTCACTAGGTTGGCTGGTCACTAGGTTGGCTGGTCACTAGGTTGGCTGGTGACTAGGTTGGCTGGTCACTAGGTTGGCTGGTGACTAGGGTATCTGGTCACTAGGTTGGCTGGTCACTAGGTTGGCTGGTCACTAGGTTGGCTGGTCACTAGGTTGGCTGGTCACTAGATTGGCTGTCACTAGGTTGGCTGTCACTAGGTTGGCTGGTCACTAGGTTGGCTGGTCACTGGGGTAACTGGTCACTAGGTTGGCTGGTGACTAGGTTGGCTGGTGACTAGGTTGGCTGGTGACTAGGTTGGCTGGTCACTAGGTTGGCTGTCACTAGGTTGGCTGGTCACTAGGGTATCTGGTCACTAGGTTGGCTGGTCACTAGGTTGGCTGGTGACTAGGTTGGCTGGTCACTAGGTTGGCTGGTCACTAGGTTGGCTGGTCACTGGGGTAACTGGTCACTAGGTTGGCTGGTGACTAGGTTGGCTGGTGACTAGGTTGGCTGGTCACTAGGTTGGCTGGTCACTAGGTTGGCTGGTCACTAGGTTGGCTGGTCACTAGGTTGGCTGGTCACTGGGGTAACTGGTCACTAGCGTAGCAGGCCACTGAGGTAGCAGATCACAAGAGTAGCCTGTCAGTAAGGTAGCTGGTCTCTAGAGTAGCCTGTCAAAAAGGTAGCTGGTCGCTAGGGTAGCAGGCCACTGAGGTAGCATATAGTTAAATTAGCAGGGCATTAGACAATAGAGAAACTAGAAAGTATTTCTAGACCAAACTAGAAGCAAGCAGCAAATCACCCAGGAAGACACTCTGTCCAATCTTTAGCATTTGGCTGATCAGGACATTTGAAACTGTCTCCTCTATTTGTCGATTTAAGGAAAACAATTAATTTGGATAACTGCATTAAGTCTTGTTTTAAATCAGAAGTATTTGGCACTGCATAGAAGTATCTAGTTCCCAATAATGAGGTATAATTTTTTACTTGGCCCAACATACAGTAAACAATTATAAAGAAATCAGTTTCTCAGTTTTTTACTGCCTTACAATTATGTTGACAAAATTTTTTTTTGCTCTGGGTTCTAGTGATAGGAAATGAATGAGTTTCCCAAACTCATGGGGGAGAGGGGTTCGGAATTTTGTAATGCACATGAATTTAATAACTAATGTTGGAAACTACTTTTTAGTTCTTCTTCTTCTACGTTCTTAATTTTTAGTGTTGGAACTGATTGAGCCTTATCTGCCACAGGGTTTGAACTCGAGACTTTTTACGAATTTATCAACCATGAGCTTTTGCCGACTCAACCATGTCTCCATCACAATTAAGGATACGTGTCAACTGGTTATGCGCCATTGAGGCCATTGACTCCGATTTCAGCCTGCTTTTCTTTTTGGATTTACTTCCATAGCCTTTGTCCAACCAAGAACAAACTACAAGGCAGCAGTTGTTTGATTTTGAAGTTGTCTCTCCTAGAAGAGTGGCTGTCCCCAGCTAACGAGCCTCATCTGCCCGAGGGTTCGAACTCGAGACTTTCCGGTTTAGCAACCATGAGCTTCACAGACTCGACCACGCCGACCCTGTACATTTTAGTTGATATTGCGCCTTTTTTTTTTAAAAAGTCTGTTTTTTTATATTATTGTGAATCTATAATATAAGCGGGCTGTGTCTGTCCTTCCGTCCGTCATCGCTATAGATTTTGGGACTATAAAAGTAAACTACGCAACATGCTGTGCTTTTCAGTGCACCGCAGTGTCTTATTATAAGTAAAAGAGTTTGGTTTGCTTATATAATGACATAGAGCTATTTTATAATTGCCACTGTTTGTACAATTGTGCATAACGTAAAGAGATTATTAAATACACGCACATTGCTAAAACATATTAAAAGGATCAATGTCAAATATTGTTTTCGTTAATATTCCTAGAAAAAGTGGATACATTTTAATAACATAATAACTGTAGGTTAGAAAAATCTAATTAAACTGTTTAGTATTTTTGCCAAGGGAGGTATTTTATTGAACTCACGCTAAAAATGTGAATGCAGAATCTACAAGACGGAATAATTGTTGGAATAATATAATTAGCAAAATGTGAAAGCAAATTATGCAAATTATGCAGACGTGTACGAGTACATTATTGTTGGAATATTATAATTAGCATTGATTGATAAAAGTCTATCTTTTATATATTTTATTCGCTGAATGTAATGTTTACTACTTATAATTTTTAATCAACTATTAAGCACTATTATAGACGCGTCATCACGTTCATTGGGTACGCAATGGTATTAGTTATGAAACTCTATTGTAAATTTTTAAAATTTAAAGTACTGGGGAAAAAAATGCGTGAATCGATAAAGTGATATAATATGGTAGGTAAAACACGGATATTTTAAATACTGCTGGGGATTTTATATGAGAGGCGTAGAGAGGGGGGGGGGGGGGGGACATATGTCCCCGGTTGCCGACCTAAGGGGGCGCCAAAGTGGGTTGGAAAAAAATTGCGGGGGGGGGGGGGGGGGGTGGAAATCGAAAGCTTGAGGGAGGTGGGAGGGTGCAAATCGAAAGTTTGAGGGGGGGGGATGCAAATCAAAAGTTTGAGCGGGGGGGGGGGGGGGTTAAATCAAAAGTGGTGCAAATCGAAAGTCTAAGAGGAGGTACAAATCGAAAGTTTGAGGGAGTAGGGTGGAAATTGTAATTTTGAGGGGAGGGGGTGCAAATCGTAAGTTTGAGGGGGGGGGGGGGGGGGTGCAAATCAAAAGTTTTTCCCCGGGCGCCGGAAAGGGTCGCTACGCCTCTGTTTTTTTATTCATTCACTGTGTCAGACGCGTTCGGCGGCGCTCGGAAAGGGCGCGATTTGGCGCTACGGGCTAGACTGTGAGCAATATGCCTTTATGATTGCATTTAAATTGTGTTTATGTTATGAGTGTTATGTTTGTTTTTACGTTTGTTTGTGTTTTTTGCGTTCGTTTGTGTTGTGTTTAGTTTTGTTCTGTTCCCAAAGTTGGTACATTTAAAAAAGATTTACCGTGGCGGAGCACGGGATGCAGCTAGTTGCAATATAAATTGATTAATATCCTAAATGTTGAGCAAACTCAGAAAATATTTTTAATAAAAAATCAATGTTTTTTAACAGACAGAAACATTTAGGCTGAGGTGTCGACGTCGATTTAAGGAACCCATGCAGCTATGCAGCCAGTTTGTACTGTGAGGACTGATATTTCTTCATGCACCAATAAAAACAGGAGAAAAACGCCATGTGTCAAAACATTTTCGAACACTTATCTGTTTATTATCAGTCTTTCTAATAAAGTGCCAAAACTATTCCCATCCTATTATCAAATTTTCTCTTATAAAAAGATATGAGCTGTGAAAATAGACATGAGACAAAAACTCAATGCCAAAACTATTCCCATCCTATTATCAAATTTTCTCTTATAAAAAGATATGAGCTGTGAAAATAGACATGAGACAAAAACTCAATGCCAAAACTATTCCCATCCTATTATCAAATTTTCTCTAATAAAAAGATATGAGCTGTGAAAATAGACATGAGACAAAAACTCAATGCCAAAACTATTCCCATCCTATTATCAAATTTTCTCTTATAAAAAGATATGAGCTGTGAAAATAGACATGAGAAAAACTCAATGCCGAAACTTTTCCGAACAATTGTCTGTTCATCATCTGTTTGTCAAATAAACTTCCAAAAATTACTCATCTCCAATTGTCAAGTTTTCTCTTATAAAAGGATACGTGCAGTAGCTCGGAGCTTTACAGTCTAGAACATTCTCATCCATGCAAAGAGTTCCTACTGGGGCTATTGTACAGTTCTGGCAGCACTGGGTATTGATGGAGCTATTAGGTCGTTAAAATTAAAATAATTATAAAATTATTACATGTACAGAAATTTACATCACTCAAAAATAAATTAATCTAGTCAATGTGATTAAGTTACTCTAATGTTTGATCAAAGGTAATTAAAAAATATATATATTTCATGAAGAAATAATTTTTAATAATTTAAAAAAATTCTGACCTGCATGAAGCCCAGACTTTAAAGGTACAATCAGAATTACAGCATTGGTCTGAACCAACAGTGCCTAAAGCTCCACCATCACATTCCTCCCCTTCTTCAACCAGGCCGTTACCACACAGTTTTGTTATTGAAGACTTTTCTACATAACAAGTCACGCAAACAAGTCAAGCACTTAGTAACATTGTATTGAAGACTTTTAATATGACAAGTCAAGCACTTAGTAACATTGTATTGAAGACCTTTCTACATGACAAGTCAAGCACTTAGTAACATAGTATTGAAGACTTTTAATATGACAAGTCAAGCACTTAGTAACATTGTATTGAAGACTTTTCTACATGACAAGTCAAGCACTTAGTAACATTATATTGAAGACTTTTTATAAGACAAGTGAAGCACAAAGAAACATAGTATTGAAGACTTTTTATAAGACAAGTCAAGAACTTAGTAACATTGTATTGAAGACTTTTTATATGACAAGTGAAGCACTTTGTAACATTGTATTGAAGACTTTTCTACATGACAAGTCAAGCACTTAGTAACATTGTATTAAAGACTTTTTATATGACAAGTGAAGCACTTAGTAACATTGTATTGAAGATTTTTCTACATGACAAGTCAAGCACTTAGTAACATTGTATTGAAGACTTTTCTACATGACAAGTCAAGCACTTTGTAACATTGTATTGAAGACTTTTCTACATAACAAGTGAAGCACTTAGTAACATTGTATTGAAGACTTTTTATATGACAAGTGAAGCACTTAGTAACATTGTATTGAAGACTTTTCTACATGACAAGTCAAGGACTTTTTATAAGAAAAGTCAAGCACTTAGTAACATTGTATTGAAGATTTTTCTACATGACAAGTCAAGGACTTTTTATAAGAAAAGTCAAGCACTTAGTAACATTGTATTGAAGACATTTAGTACAAGTTTGGGATGTGAGTAGATGTCAACTTACCAACTAGACATTTGGCCTTGTCCAGTTTTCTTCCAATAGTTTTTTTGGAACATGGTGAAAATAACTACACAGTAAAAGGAAAACAAAGAATGATTAATTATAATTAATAATTAGTATACAGAAACCTTATACATCACACTTTCAGGATTATTATAAAATTATGTAACCGATAAGGTATCAGATATCACAAGGGTAGCATAAAATTGTATCGCCATAACAAGTTCAGCATAAAATCTGTATATCTATAAAACTAAGTTTCTAGTTGATTTGTGAAAAAGTAATGTTAAGGGGTATATCCCTTCATTTTGATCCCAAAAAAAAAACAACAACAAATAACACAGCAAAATTTTTTTTTTAAAATAGAGCTATAGAACCTACTAGATCTACATTCTAAAAAAAAAAACTGAAATTGAAATGATATATTTAGATAAGTGATTCTTAACCTTTTTGGAGGTACCGTAACCCACCACTTTTATATGCGCAATCACTGCTTAATACTTCTTTTGACAAACTGATGGTGAATCATAAAGGTCAAGTGTGTGTCTTGACCTCTGCCAATCCCCTCCGACTGACATACTGAACAATGGGGCTCAATCGAACCCATATTAAGAACAACCCAGTTCAAAAAAGGGATAACTGTTGTTTTAAAACACTGGTTACAAATTGATGAGAGAATCATTTACAGTTTAACAGATTCAACAACATAACTTGTGTTGTTTTGGCCATTTACTTGAATGGTTTACCCCTAGCTCAGGGGTCGGCAACCTTTTGAAGTGGAAGAGCCAAAAGTTACAATATTCAAAATTTTCCTGGTTTTAAAGAGCCACAAACATTTTTTTATTTCAAATATTTTATTTTTTTATTAAGATTATTAGTATTTGTTCAATGAGCTGGAGAGCCGCATCTTGATATCAAAAGAGCCGCATGCGGCTCGCGAGCCGCAGGTTGCCGACCCCTGCCCTAGCTGAACAAGCAACACACAACAACAAAATGATCTGACTAAAACCTTGTTGTTTCTCTTTAGTAGTTTACACCTAGCTGAACAAGCAACACAACAACAACAAAATGATCTGACTAAAACCTTGTTGTTTCTCTTTAGTAGTTTACACCTAGCTGAACAAGCAACACAACAACAACAAAATGATCTGACTAAAACCTTGTTGTTTCTCTTTAGTAGTTTACACCTAGCTGAACAAGCAACACAACAACAACAAAATGATCTGACTAAAACCTTGTTGTTTCTCTTTAGTAGTTTACACCTAGCTGAACAAGCAACACAACAACAACAAAATGATCTGACTAAAACCTTGTTGTTTCTCTTTAGTAGTTTACACCTAGCTGAACAAGCAACACAACAACAACAAAATGATCTGACTAAAACCTTGTTTCTCTTTAGTAGTTTACACCTAGCTGAACAAGCAACACAACAACAACAAAATGATCTGACTAAAACCTTGTTGTTTCTCTCATGGCCTGAAACAGACTGATGCCACATGATGAAATTGCCTCCGTCCGACTCCTCAAAAGAGCATTCATCAGTGTCAGGGTCATGGTCACTGGCAAAGTTGTGACCTGCCAATGTATGGGAAAATTATTTAAACATTTGATTTTTTTCAATCGTTGATGGGGGTTCTAAATGGACATGTTTCTGTTTCTAAACCAAATACGTTTTCATTTTTAGAAAAAAAATTCACAACTTTCCTAATAATTGAAATAAAGCAATAAATTGTGACTTCAGCATACAGGGGATAGTGTGGTCAACACTAAGCCCAGCCACCTTTGTTTCTCTTTGTGAGTCAGGTACCCATCAGAGCTTTATGGATTTAGAATACTTTATAATGATGCCAAACATAAGCCTAGTCATGCCAACTGAAACATATTGATATGAAAGTATCAGTTTAGGCATACATTAATTATTTTAATAAAATCATGTTTAATAAGATTTTGGAGTTAGATTGGACGGGACTGCTTTAAGTCTAGGTGGAAATTACAGTACACAGCTTAGAGGCAGTGATGATTTCTTTACAATATCTTTGTAAAATATTAACTTCGTTGGTTTAACATTAGGTAACAGTTTATTACCATTTACAATTGTCTTTTAACATGCTAAACAACCACTAGAATTCAAGGTAAACAATGTATGTTTTCTTAACCCTTTCTCCATCATTAAACATTGTCATTAATTCTGGACCATTTGCCCTCCTCTCTAGAAATGTGTGGATTACACCCCCACCCCAAACAAAATATTTCAATGTATTATGTCAGAGGTGTGTCATGATTAATACTATAAAAATAACATTTTAAATAACATTTAAAACTTGCATAAGAATCAATTAGTTTAAATTTAAATAATTGAAGATAAGCTATTACATAAAAGGTACAGGTTCAAGTATAGGTATATGTGTAGGTATTGTTACAGGTGTAAGTAAGAGAAAGGGATAGGGATAATTATAGAGATAGTGATGTTTATATTTTATGCTTATGTTTGGATTTTTCGGGTTATATTTATTTTGTTAAACTACATTTGCTTATATTATCTCCAAAACCCAGACAGTGTATATTCAGTGTATATGTTGCTAGTGCTAAAACAAAATACAAAAATAGAACACATGAAGATCAAATGTGAAACCAAAAAAATCATACAGTGAAAATTTAGTAAAGTAATTCATACCTAATTCTGAAAGAAAAGTTTTTTTAATAAAATTTAATTTTTTATCACAAGCAGTAAAATAAGTAAAAATTTTCAAGGTGAAAGAAATCAAGGAAACCTACAGCCGATAGATGAAAATATTTAAGGAATCTCATGCTCAAAATGAAGTAATTCAAGAAATATTTATTTTCCAACAAAAGAAGTGATAAGGTTTAAAATAAAATTATTCAAGAAAATATATTTCCAATCAATAAGATAAAAATTATAGGCCCAAGATGAAATGATTCAAGAAAATATATTTTAGATGAAAATTATAGGCTTAAGATGAAATTATTCAAGAAAATATATTTAAGATAAAAATTGTAGGCTTAAACTGAAATCATTCAAGAAAATACATTTAAGATAAAAATTATAGGCTTAAGATTAAATGATTAAAGAAACATTTTTTTTAATGGATTGATGTTATCATATGAAGTATGGGGCTGGTAAGTAGGTCAATAAACAGTTCTACGCTCAATAAAACCTGCATGAGCCATAGTACTGTTTATTGACCTATACTTACCAGCCCTATAGGCCATAGATATAACAAGCGAGAAAATACTGACATACCGTGAGTAAAGACAAGACTTGTCTGTAGGTTGGTTACTGTGTTGCCTTCACCAGATTCAACAGTCACAAGAGACACACAGATAAACCTTCCCTTTTCTAAATTTTCTAGACATGAAACATTTTTCATTTACTCAATTGTTTTTTTTAACATGACATTTAGCACAACTCACTTTTTTTTTCACTATCCATTATTTGTCCATAATTTTCCTTACATAACAACTTCAAGTGATTTTGAATATATATAAGAGTATTAAAGTAATATAAGCAGGTAAAAACCATCCACCTACCTAAACAAGTAAATCCACCCCTCCTCCCCCCAACATACATAAGCAAGTAGAAATCTCCATCTACTTAAGAACATGGGCAGGTAAGCAGTACTAAATCAGCCAAAATGCTTATTTCTAAACCTAATGCTGTCAGATGTATTATATAGTTACGAGCCGACCTGCGGCGTATAATACGCCACTATTTAGTTGTTTTATTTTCTACTTTTCAGTAATTCATAATTTGTTAATTCAACAGTACCAATGCTGCCACTGAATATATTTGCTTTAAAACACTATCAGTAGCTCGTTAAGGACGATAACCCCCCACCCCCTTTCCCCAACCCCCACCCCCCCTTGAAAGCAGCCTCCTCTTAGTTACCTCCCCCTAAGTTTAAAATCGTTTCAAACTAAATTATCTGCCCCTAATAGTCGTCACTAAACCCGGCTCTACGATTGTAAACATTTAGCAGGAACCACAGCTCACCAGACCATGTTGAGGTGGGGGTGGTAGGGAGCGCGCTTACAGCTTGGTGTTTTCTGACGTCTCCAAGAAGAGAATTATATATATAGAAGATTACTATAAGGGTTGGCATCTTTATGGTAAAAAAAAGGTAAAAAAAATTCAAGAAATAAGCATTTTGGCTGATTTGGCACTCATCACCCACCCATATCTGTAGGTCTGTGTTTTTGTATGCTGTAAATCTCTTCATCTACCTAAGCAAGTAATAATATCTACCTAAGCAAGTAAAATCCACAACCTACATAAGCAGGAAAAACCCTCCACCCACCTAAGCAAGTAAAACCCACATCATCATCTTGCACATCTCAACCACCAACTTACTTGTGCAGGCGCCACCCTGATAGCCTAATCCTAATATTCCATCGGTAAATGGATAGCTTGTTATCAAAATATATAAACAGAAGTCTTCTTTCAATAAACTAGCATACTGTCCAAATGCCTGCAAAGAAATAATTTAAAAAAAAAACAAACAGTTAATTCCCTTGATGGTTATTATAAAACATATTTTTAATGTATGATTGTTAGCATACAAAATACATTTAATAAACAAAAATAACTATCTTGTGTTATATTTCTAATACAGTGACTTCTAATCTTTTATTTTAAAAATGTATTTGTATGATTTTTTCTAGTAATAATTTCTACCTTAGTGAAAAAGGAAAAATCTTTCATTTTTGTTTTGTCTCAACTATTCATTTAAAACAAAACAAAAAATTATTTTTTTTGAACTTTTATTTCCCTATATCTGTTTGTCTGTCTTTTTTGTCCATTTGTCTGCAGCAAATCTTTTAACCAAAATACAACATACTTTTAATGCACCAATGTCATTCTTACATTCCAGATTGATTGGACAATGCAGATTATCTAATTTTTTATTTTAATTAGATATTAATTTAGCCATTACAAATAAATTAAATTTTTAAATTCAACAAAAGGGGAAGTAATCGCTCAATCAGATGATGAACTGTTGTTTCTGTTTTAACATCTAAAAACTGACCACTGTTTAAAGAAGATGTAGATCATTGTCATTTAGCTAAACACAAACTGCTAATTAGCTTTCAAAGCAAATATTTTTAGCTATAAAGTACTAAAAAAAATTATTTTTAAAATTTAAATGTTGACTAAATACTCTAAATTTTAAAAAACTCTGAATTATTAAAATGTAGAAAATAACAAGATTTTTCCTTTTTGAAAATGCACTGAAATAAAGAAAATAAAACAAATTTGCTTTCTTTAGTAGAAAACTGCTCATGGAATCTCTTACACATTTCAGCAGCAAATTCTTTTACTAATAAAAAACAAGTTAGGTTTATTATCTTATTCAAAATGCATTTAAAAGTCTGTTAATATGTATTATCCTTATTATTAAGATTTTTAGTTTTATTTCTTTTACACTCAGTACCCTATAATAAGTTTTAAATATGACAATTTTTTTCTAAAATTGAATTTAAAATTAAAATGGGAATACGGTTTATAATTCTGAACCTCAACACTTGTTGAGACAGTACTAAATTCCATGGATAACTTCTCTGTAACTATGTTGGACTGCTTTAGTTTTAATACAGTGTGAAGACTTAGTTAAGTAAATAATAAGGGATCTAACACTTTTTTTTTAAAAAGTGGAACTATGACCACACTATTTTAACACCAAGATATCTTTCACACTATTTTAACACCAAGATATCTTTCACGCTATTTTAACACCAAGATATCTTTGCGTGTTGTACACATACAATTATATAAAGACTGGATCACTAATTTAATTTACACATTGTTTTGGTCTCTAATGTGCAATTAGTAAACACGTAATGCAATAATAGTTTACTCTTGGCTGTGAACGGGAGTGTTACACACTTATAAATGGCATATACCTGTAATTTAGTTGATGCCTCCCAGTGCAGGTCTTCAGAGTTAAAATGTGCCTGTCCTTGTTCTGTTTTACTTAGTGAAGTAAACAATGTTATCTGCAGGAGTTTTTTTTGGTGTTAGGAACTTGATATCACCAGTGTTGTTAAAAACTTGACATAATCAAAGTTGCTAAAAACTTGACATGATCAGTTTTGTTAAAAATACTCGACATAAACAAAGTTGTTAAAAACTCGACATAAACAAAGTTGTTATAACATGACATAAACAAAGTTGTTAAAAACTTGACATGAACAGTGTTGTTAAAAACTTGACACGAACAGTGTTGTTATAATTAAAACACATTTTTTTTAAAAATACTTGTGAAAGTCATGTAATTGCAAAGCCTACTTGAGCTTACCTAAAACAGTAGAGATAATAAGACTAAAAAAGTTAGGTAGGCCCTATATTTTCAATGAATAGTGGTTGCCACTGCATGGGATGGTATGGTCAGATGGTAAAGTCTATATCTGCTGACTCAAAAGTCTTGAGTTTGAGTTTGGATTGCTGACACAAGACAGCAAAGTGTGAACAAGTTTACTGATAACTAAATGTGCTTGCTGGCAACTATTGTACATACTGACAATGTGCCCAGTGACAATGTGCCCCACAGCAATGTGCCCTGTGACAATGTGCCCAACAGCAATGTACCGAGTGACAATGTGCCCCACAGCAATGTACCCAGTGACATTGTGCCCCACAGCTATGTACCCAGTGGCAATGTACCCAGTGACAATGTGCCCCACAGCAATGTACCCAGTGGCAATGTACCCAGTGACAATGTGCCCCACAGCAATGTACCCAGTGACAATGTGCCCAGTGACAATGTGCCCCACAGCTATGTACCCAGTGGCAATGTACCCAGTGACAATGTGCCCCACAGCAATGTACCCAGTGACAATGTGCCCCACAGCAATGTACCCAGTGACAATGTGCCCCACAGCTATGTACCCAGTGACAATGTGCCCAGTGACAATGTGCCCCACAGCTATGTACCCAGTGACAATGTGCCCCACAGCAATGTACCCAGTAACAATGTGCCCAGTGACAATGTACCCAGTGACAATGTGCCCCACAGCAATGTACCCAGTGACAATGTGCCCAGTGGCAATGTACCCAGTGACAATGTGCCAAACAGCAATGTACCCAGTGACATTGTGCCCCACAGCTATGTACCCAGTGACAATGTACCCAGTGACAATGTGCCAAACAGCAATGTTACCAGTGACAATGTGCCCAGTGACAATGTGCGCAGTGACAATGTGCCCCACAGCAATGTGCCCAGTGGCAATATGCCCCACAGCTATGTACCCAGTGACAATGTGCCCAGTGACAATGTGCCCCACAGCAATGTACCCAGTGGCAATGTGCCCAGTGACAATGTGCCCAACAGCAATGTACCCAGTGACAATGTGCCCAGTGACAATGTGCCCCACAGCTATGTACCCAGTGACAATGTGCCCAGTGACAATGTGCCCAGTGACAATGTGCCAAACAGCAATGTTACCAGTGACAATGTGCCCAACAGCAATGTGCCCCACAGCTATGTACCCAGTGACAATGTGCCCAACAGCAATGTACCCAGTGACAATGTGCCCACCAGCTATGTTACCAGTGACAATGTGCCCAGTGACAATGTGCCCCACAGCAATGTACCCAGTGACAATGTGCCCAACAGCAATGTACCCAGTGACAATGTGCCCAACAGCAATGTGCCCAGTGACAATGTGCCCAACAGCAATGTGCCCAGTGACAATGTGCCCCACAGCAATGTACCCAGTGACAATGTGCCCAACAGCTATGTTACCAGTGACAATGTGCCCAACAGCAATGTGCCCAGTGACAATGTGCCCCACAGCAATGTACCCAGTGACAATGTGCCCAACAGCTATGTTACCAGTGACAATGTGCCCAACAGCAATGTGCCCAGTGACAATGTGCCCCACAGCAATGTACCCAGTGACAATGTGCCCAACAGCTATGTACCCAGTGACAATGTGCCCAACAGCTATGTTACCAGTGACAATGTGCCCAACAGCAATGTGCCCAGTGACAATGTGCCCCACAGCAATGTACCCAGTGACAATGTGCCCAACAGCTATGTTACCAGTGACAATGTGCCCAACAGCAATGTGCCCAGTGACAATGTGCCCCACAGCAATGTACCCAGTGACAATGTGCCCAACAGCTATGTACCCAGTGACAATGTGCCCAACAGCAATGTACCCAGTGACAATGTGCCCAACAGCAATGTGCCCAACAGCAATGTGCCCAGTGGCAATGTGCCCAGTGACAATGTGCCCCACAGCAATGTACCCAGTGACAATGTGCCCAACAGCAATGTGCCCAGTGGCAATGTGCCCAGTGACAATGTGCCCAACAGCTATGTACCCAGTGACAATGTGCCCAACAGCAATGTGCCCAACAGCAATGTGCCCAGTGGCAATGTGCCCAGTGACAATGTGCCCCACAGCAATGTACCCAGTGACAATGTGCCCAACAGCAATGTGCCCAACAGCAATGTGCCCAGTGGCAATGTGCCCAGTGACAATGTGCCCAACAGCTATGTACCCAGTGACAATGTGCCCAACAGCAATGTACCCAGTGACAATGTGCCCAACAGCTATGTACCTAGTGACAATGTGCCCAACAGCAATGTACCCAGTGACAATGTGCCCCACAGCAATGTACCCAGTGACAATGTGCCCAACAGCAATGTACCCAGTGACAATGTACCCAGTGACAATGTGCCCAGTGGCAATGTGCCCAGTGACAATGTGCCCAACAGCTATGTACCCAGTGACAATGTGCCCAACAGCAATGTACCCAGTGACAATGTGCCCAACAGCTATGTTACCAGTGACAATGTGCCCAGTGACAATGTGCCCCACAGCAATGTACCCAGTGACAATGTGCCCAGTGACATTGTGCCCCACAGCTATGTACCCAGTGACAATGTGCCCCACAGCTATGTACCCAGTGACAATGTGCCCAGTGACAATGTGCCCCACAGCTATGTACCCAGTGACAATGTGCCCAACAGCAATGTGCCCTGCGACAATGTGCCCAACAGCAATGTACCCAGTGACAATGTGCCCAGTGGCAATGTACCCAGTGACAATGTACCCAGTGACAATGTGCCCCACAGCAATGTACCCAGTGACAATGTGCCCCACAGCAATGTACCCAGTGACAATGTGCCCCACAGCAATGTACCCAGTGACAATGTGCCCAACAGCAATGTACCCAGTGACAATGTGCCCCACAGCTATGTACCCAGTGACAATGTGCCCAACAGCAATGTACCCAGTGACAATGTGCCCAACAGCAATGTACCCAGTGACAATGTGCCCAACAGCAATGTACCCAGTGACAATGTGCCCCACAGCAATGTACCCAGTGACAATGTGCCCAACAGCAATGTACCCAGTGACAATGTGCCCAACAGCTATGTACCCAGTGACAATGTGCCCAACAGCAATGTACCCAGTGACAATGTGCCCAGTGACAATGTGCCCCACAGCAATGTACCCAGTGATAATGTGCCCCACAGCAATGTGCCCCACAGCTATGTACCCAGTGACAATGTGCCCAACAGCAATGTACCCAGTGACAATGTACCCAGTGACAATGTGCCCAACAGCAATGTACCCAGTGACAATGTACCCAGTGACAATGTGCCCCACAGCAATGTACCCAGTGATAATGTGCCCCACAGCTATGTACCCAGTGACAATGTGCCCAACAGCTATGTACCCAGTGACAATGTGCCCAACAGCAATGTACCAGGTGACAATGTGCCCAACAGCAATGTACCCGGTGACAATGTGCCCAACAGCAATGTGCCCTGCGACAATGTGCCCAACAGCAATGTACCCAGTGACAATGTGCCCAACAGCAATGTACCCAATGTATTTTAGAGCAATGTGCCCAGCAGCAATGTACACTGCGACAATGTGCCCAACAGCAATGTGCCCTGTGACAATGTGCCCAGTGGCAATGTGCCCTGTGACAATGTGCCCAGTGGCAATGTGCCCAGAAACAATGTACCCAGTGACAATGTGCCCAACAGCAATGTGCCCTGCGACAATGTGCCCAACAGCAATGTACCCAGTGACAATGTGCCCAGTGGCAATGTACCCAGTGACAATGTACCCAGTGACAATGTGCCCCACAGCAATGTACCCAGTGACAATGTGCCCCACAGCAATGTACCCAGTGACAATGTGCCCCACAGCAATGTACCCAGTGACAATGTGCCCAACAGCAATGTACCCGGTGACAATGTGCCCAACAGCAATGTACCCAGTGACAATGTGCCCCACAGCTATGTACCCAGTGACAATGTGCCCCACAGCAATGTACCCAGTGATAATGTGCCCCACAGCAATGTGCCCCACAGCTATGTACCCAGTGACAATGTGCCCAACAGCAATGTACCCAGTGACAATGTGCCCAACAGCTATGTACCCAGTGACAATGTGCCCAACAGCAATGTACCAGGTGACAATGTGCCCAACAGCAATGTACCCGGTGACAATGTGCCCAACAGCAATGTGCCCTGCGACAATGTGCCCAACAGCAATGTACCCAGTGACAATGTGCCCAACAGCAATGTACCCAATGTATTTTAGAGCAATGTGCCCAGCAGCAATGTACACTGCGACAATGTGCCCAACAGCAATGTGCCCTGTGACAATGTGCCCAGTGGCAATGTGCCCTGTGACAATGTGCCCAGTGGCAATGTGCCCAGTGGCAATGTGCCCAGCAACAATGTGCCCAATGGCAATGTATTCTAGAGCAATGTGCCCAGCAGCAATGTACCTAGCGGCAATGTGCCCAGCGGCAATGTGCCCAGCGGCAATGTATTAAAGTTAATAAAGTCACCCTTTTAAACCAGAAGATAAACATCACAATAAACATTTTTTTTTTAAAGTATTTAGTAATGTAAACTAAAATAATCAAAGGATGTAAACTAAATAAACAGCTCTATACTATCCAACTCCCATGCAATGAATAACATTCATTATATAAATTACTTAGTTGGAAACAGCAAGCAAATTGAATGGAATAGAGACTCAATGTAGTTGTAATTATCTCACCTTACCGACTTGAATTCCAATATTGGAATACGTATTAGCCTCCCCTTCAAATGTTGTTGATCGGAATATCCTATCTGCATAATGGGAAACACTTATCTGTGGATGTATATGTGTACTCTGTGTTTAAGATTTTTATTTTTTTATATCATTTAAATCTCTACGTTATTTGTGGTTTATTAAATATTTTCTGAATAAAATGTACTGCTTTTGTTACTTTTTTAAAAAACCAAACATTAAATCAAAAGCATATATATTTTCTGGAACCCTTAGCATAAAAAAAAGTCAAAAGTCTTGCCCATCCCACTTCACCCAGAAATGTGATGTCATTTCTGGATGAAATTTTACTAACCATAAAGGCAGAACATGACCAGGGATTACTGTTGCAGTGCCTCTTGTACAGAAAGTAGTCACCAAACAGAGACACGATGCATGTGTTTTGGTCAGGTGAGTCCCTAGCCCTTCTAGAGTGGGAATCTGCCAGTGGTTTCAAGATAAACACTTGAAATTAAAAAAAACAAACATTTTTTCGTATTTCGGGGACATGCATTTCAAATAGAAATGTGTGTGTGTGCATGTACTCGTAGGCATGTGTTTTATGTCTATATATATATATGTGTGTGTGTGTGTGTGTGTGTGTGTGTATGTATATATATATATATATATATATTATATATATATATATATATATATATATATATATATATATATATATATATATATATATATATATATATATATATATATATGTATATATATATATATATATATATATATTAGAATACCTGTCCTGCGCATTGTTGTGGTCTTAGTAGAAAGGCTGACACAATATTCCAAGAGAATTTTATCAATTTGTTACTCTTTTCTATTTTAAGATGCGTGATCGTGTTTCTAAAGATGAGTTATTTAACATGTAAAGACATCAAGCAGTATATTTCTTGGATTGTAGTTGTTGAGGCGTGGGTTTGTCCGCATTACAACCCAGATTCCCAAAGGCATGCTGTTTGAAAGCCTTGAGTGTAATAATTTTTTGTAATAGTCAGATAAAACGCACCTCGCAACCACCAAAAGGTATTGAACTCGGGAGCCACTGGTTACACTAACCCAGGGGCGTCGGGTACAGCCTCTGGTTTCGTTTAATCACTGTGTATTGTGTGCCACCTTGTCCCCGTTGTAGGGTGCTCTTTAAAACCACTGTAGGCACCATAGTGTTTATGGTGAAGTCTGGTGTGCAGCAGGAAACCAGATAGTAAAGATTTGACTGATTCAATGATTATAGTAGCCTACCGTATCCATAGTGTATGGCACTCTTTAAAACAAATGTTGGTGCCCTAGTGCTTATGGGGAAGCCCAGGGTGTCTAACCACACATTGATGGGGCGCCAGAGGATGCACCGGATTTTATTGAAACAATGATTATAGTAGTCCATCATATCCATAGTGTATATCACTCTTCAAAAAAAATGTAGGCACCATAGTACTAACAGTGAAGCACGGCGCAAAATTGTAAAAAAAAACACATGAAGAGATGCCTTGAAGAAACTCTAGCCCCCAAACTAATATTCGATAGTTAATGCGGCCCTCAGGCTGAAAAGTTGGAGACCCATGGTGTAGAGAGTGAGTGAATGAAATAAAGTTCCTCCACCTATTTCCCCTACCCTACAACTCATCCAGCATCTTCCAGAAGCACAAAATCAACTGATTTCTAAAGAATATACAATTTATAAAACTAGTTTATTCCTAGCAGTATGATACAACTTACTTTTAGCTGTCTTTTCTGAAAATTTATTGTCCATCTGCTTATTTAAATTTTGGGACTGCTGACTTATAGGAGACATTGGAGAACTAACACCACTGTTGAAGAGAAAATAAACTTAAAATTTTTTCAGACACATGAATATTAACAAGTAAATTTCTGTTAAATTTATCAAATTACAAAACAAAACAGTTCTTATACTGTAGAGACATTAACATTTACAGACATTATAAATTTTGCAGGCAGACATTTCTTTAATATGTTTGCTACTGTAAATTGTAGTTTAAATATCCTTTTAATTAAATTTAAATAAAAAGATAATACTAACAATATACTTAAAAGCTGTATTCTACAAAAAGAAGACACAAAACTAGCTTAATTTATGCTAGTATCAATTATCATGAGGAATACATTATTAAAGTTTAATTTTAGCTAGGATCGACTATCATGATAAATAACAGAAATCAGACATTGAAAAAGATATTAATTGTATCCGACAACTTCTGATTGATTCAAACATACTACAAACAAACATACACCCTACCACTGTGAAGCACCCTTTCTCAGATCAGAACTTCTGTAAGCAATTTGACTATGATTTAGGTTTTGCCAATCTTTTATTAACCTATGAGCTGGCTGAAACATTATTATTTTTTAAAATACATTTCTTTATCAGAGCCACATAAAAAAGAAAAATAACTAATAGGCCTACAATGGTCAACAACTTTCACCTCATTTATGAATGAATTTTTAACTATAAGTAAGGTCCCAGCATTCTTTGTATCTACTTTAAACAAATTATGCAAAACCTCTAACTAATATTGCCTTTCACTAAGAGTGAATAAAGTTGTCTCCCATAATGAATCTAAATAACAAAGCTATATCATAATTGATTTTTAAACAGCACCTCTACAGCATATGTATCATTTATATCATATATATGTATAGTCCACAAGTCATCTTCAACAAAGGCACTAACAGATACATCTTCATTTCCTACATTTTACAAAAGAAAAAAAGAAAAAATTAGAGCTTAGAAAGCGTTATATACATAAATACATAAATTAGTATATATATATATATATATATATATAATAAATAAATGTTTATTGGAAATATATGCCAAATTTAAGCTGCTTTTTTGTATGGGGGAATGATTTCATTTTTAATATTGTAAAAATGATTTTGAAAAATGACTTTCCAATAGCATAGCTTAACCTGAATAGTTCATTGCGAAGAAATAAAAAAAATGTACACAAAACTGTAAGTGCGGGGTAAAGCAAATGTAAATCATATGTATTTTAAGAGCAAAAATTGTTTCATTCTTAATTTTTCAAGATTACATACCCATAAGATACCCAGAAAATATTTTACTTTGATCAATAAAAAACTGAGACGTTCTTTCCTTTTCATACACCATATATGCCTTGAAATTTCCAGCTAACACAGTAGTGCCCGTTGTGAGGTGAAGATGAAAATCTCTTAAAGAAAGGCAGAAAAGATGGAAACAGTTAACCATAACTGATGACATATACAATTTTTGTTTCTAATAAATAATCTACATCATAACTAAATATAATATTGTAAATATAGGCATACTAGATTTTTTAAAACTAGACAAGATATTTTGAACAAATTATTTTGTGCATGGTTAATAATATGTTGTAAAAAAAGATGGCATTGAAAGAAAAAAATATGTACAGCTATAGTAACTAGCAAATTCTAAATTAAACTAACCTGTCAAATACTTTGAACCTGACTTGTTTAATTACTTTCTGTTCACCATTAGATCTCTTCACAATTGATGTAACACCAATTGAACTGAATGTTTCGTAGTATTTTAAATTTGCTATACTAAGAACTAAAAATAAATCACTGAAGTGTTAATCATCTTAATGAGTCATTAAACTACACAATTTATGTTTAATATTATAACAAATCACTACTGTCAACTAATTCATTATAGGCCTATATATATATATATATATATATATATATATATATATATATATATATATATATATATATATATATATATATATATATATATATATATATATATATATATATATATATATAAATTTATAGGCTTATTGTTGAAGTATTGATATGCCTTCTTTTACACCTAACTCATCTAAAATCGATAACTATAAGCTACATACATTATTTATAGTCCTATAATAAAACATGAGCGTAATAAACTGGGGTTTTTTTTCACATTACTTAGCTAGCATCACCGATTTTACACACCTAAATTCTTAAACGATATAGATCTAGTTGATAGGTTACCCAATGGGCCAATAATCCCAATATTGAGGAATATTCTCACTCTCAGCTTTATGTCACAAACTACTGAAATTTGAACACTACATCTAAATAATATTTAGTAAATATCTAATCTTTAGTAGATCTAGATCTAGCTATCTAGAAAACACTGTAAATTAATACTCATTGAGTCAATGAGTCAACAGAATGGACTCTGAACTCAACAAATAAACTGAGTGAAGCATTCACTGAATGCCAGTGAGTGAATGCCAAGAAGAGAAGATGAAGATTTCAGATCAGATTGATCTTGTCTAGAGTACTCTAGAGTGAGAGTAGTCTAGACTAGACCAGTCTTCTTTGAGTCTAGACAGAATCTAGTAGATCTAGATTCTAGATCTACATCTACAATCCAAATTATCTTAGCAAAAGCAGTGTATGTGGATCTAGAAAATTACGTTAAGCTATTTTCTTTAAACTATTTACTGTTTATTTACCACTTTTAATCAAAATTACATAAATAAATATAAAAATACGCATTATACACAGACGTTAGAAACTTTGTGAAAACAAAAACAAAGGCGGAAACAACTAAATTAATACATTTATTTTCGCACTTTAAGTTCTCACATAAAATATTTATATTTTTTTAATATTAGATCTATATTTATAATTATTTATCAATTAGAAAATCTAGTCATTTGAAGGCTTACTTCCTTTCAACAGTTGAAAGTGCTTTTGCAAACCAGCAGATCTTTCTAGATCTAAGTCAGGTTTTAATAGGCGTTTTTGCAGTGCCGGCGTTTGGGAGTGGTAAATTAGGCGTTGCCCCATGCCCCGCACTTGATTGGCCTCTTTGTTGTCTCTATTGCTTTGTAAACTTTAATAATCTTTGCTGAATTAAGTTGGAAAAAAAAAGTTTGAACTCCGAAATTGTTGATTGTTATAACTGACGCCACGGTTGATGTTAGTAAGTTGTCAACACTTGAACTGGGACAGGGAGACTATTTGCATGGTTCAGTAGTACGGTCGCTTGGTATTTAACATGAGGTGACTGCGTATGATGAGCCCCCATCCGACCTGACTTGTGATGTAATAGAGGCGTAGCGACCCTTCCCGGCGCCCGGGGACAAACTTCAATTTGGCGCCCCCCTCGGGAGCAAATTTTCAATTTGCACCCCCCCCTAAAACTTTCGATTTGCACACCCCCCCCCCCCCTCAAAATTTCAATTTGCACTCCCTCCATATATTTATATATATATATATATATATATATAATGCAAAAATGCAACTAAAATGATATTTTAATATGTTTTTACAACCCATTTTGGCGCCCCCTAAGGTCGGCGCCCGGGAACATATGTACCCCCCCCCCCCCCGTCGCTACGCCTCTGTGATGTAAGTTTGGAAAAACACGAAATGAGCAGAGTTCTTTCAGGCATCTCTTTGGGGGGGGGGGCGAAGAAAGTCTACCACCCCCCCACCCCCCCACCCCCCGAACGAAATGAAATGTATATAGAAAATATATGGCAGCACTTGAGAAATTTGTCGAGGACAGGGATCCGATACTGGAACTAATATAAAAGGAAAACTATATAGGCCTATTTCATTGTCATAATTTTAATTCGCTTCGAGAAGAAAAAAAAACTCCACTTTTCCAAAACGGAGGAGAAGGTTACAAACAATAAAACAATAAATTCTAACACTATTTCGTTGAGTCGGTACACCTTCAATGTACGCGTTTAAGACACCAATTTAAAAAATCAGGCCCCAATCGTATAGTGACCCTATGCTCCAATCGGATGTTCGGCCCAAGGCCTCACTCAGAGAGTGGCCCTATGCCCACTCAGAAGGTGGCCCTATGTCCTAAGTATGGTGGCCCTATGCTCCAATCGGATGTTCGGCCCTATGCCCAATTGGAAGGTGGTCCTATGCCCAATTGGAAGGTGGTCCTATGCCCAATCGGAAGGTGGTCCTATGCCCCACCCAGAAGGTGGCCCTATGCCCAATCGGAAGGTGGCCCTATGCCCAATCGGAAGTTGGCCCTATGCCCCACTCAGAAGGCGGCCCTATGCCCCACCCAGAAGGTGGCCCTATGTCCCACGGAAGGTGGCCCTATTTCCAATCGGAAGGTGGCCCTATGCCCAATCGGAAGGGGGCCCTATGTCCCACGGAAGGTGGCCCTATGCCCAATCGGAAGGTGGCCCTATGCCCAATTGGAAGGTGGTCCTATGCCCCACCCAGAAGGTGGCCCTATTTCCAATCGGAAGGTGGCCCTATGCCCAATCGGAAGGTGGCCCTATGCCCAATCGGAAGGTGGCCCTATGCCCCACCCAGAAGGTGGCCCTATGACCCACTCGGAAGGTGGCCCTATGCCCACTTAGAAGGTGGCCCTAAGCCCCACTCAGATGGTCGACCTGACTCACGTTAAGGTAAACAAAGAGGTTGGTCAGAGTGCTAAATACACCAGCCCTTCAAATGTCGAGGTTACAGTGAAAAATATGAGCACTACTTCATCTGCCCTCCTGTGTGTCTTTGGCACGAAAGGGAAAAGTTGGTGATGAACCTTTGCTCTAGTTGTCAGTCTCAATTCAGCGTTCCGTCTTTTAGCAGTTTTTGTATGGATTGTCTACTTTTGACTAACTTTTGGTTCCAAGAGCTGTTTCGTTACGTAGGGTAGCCTAGTCGTTTTTTTTGTAGTGTACCTCATAAAACACAATTTTTCTTAACTCTGATGTGTGAAACTAGCACGAAGTAGTCTGGTATTTGCAGGTCAGCATACATCCAATTCTAGGGGGAAAAAAACTAGCAACAAGAAAGGATGCTCGTTCGAAGGGAAAATGTTTTCATATTACATTAATGTTTTTGTTATCTAGACATGTATAGTATACATGTCGCAAGAGTAAAAGTGGCTTTAGGCAACTTGTACATATGTAGCTTAGAGGTTTTTGGTGGAATGTTAGTAACTCTATGCAAATATATGGAGGAGAGCTGAATAAATAAGATTCTCATGCTAATTTAATAAATATGAGTCAAGATAATCGGCAAATGCAGGTAAGCCTACTTTTCAATTCACCATATCACTGCGACATAATTCGTGGAGTGAAATAGGCCTACTGGTGAAACTTAAACTACTTAAATTACTCTATTTCACCAAACCACTATGACATAGAGGATTATAATGCTGGTGAAACGTACACTAAAATACCACTGGTTTATTTAGTCAACACAAAATCAGGAACTATAGCTTTTGAAACTGGCGATCCAAATATTGTTTTTGCAACTACCGATGTTGAAAAGAAGTGGGAAAACAGTATAGTCAGTGTTTCTTTCTTTTTTGGGTGACAGAATGACCTAAAGTGATGTTTGACCCTTAAAGAAATGAGTAATGGCACCTACATGAAAGCATTAAGTTTATGATATTGGCCCCCAAACAATACCAGCAGTAGAAAAACAACTAAAGGCACTAAAGTACAAAACTGTCTGTTTCACATTCACAGAAAAACCAAAAAATTATTACTAATTAACTAATCCACATTTAGCAAACAGTTGATAAGTGAACAAATTAACACAAAACATGTTACAGGCCTACCCCAAGGGCAGATTTATTTAGTATAAAAAAATTAAGTAGAAAAAACAACAGTTAAGCACAGCAATGATTAAGTAAGTACTTCAATAATCACATTCTTCTTGTGGACTATTTAGAATTAAATATTTCAACAAAGCTTCTATATCACAATATTGAACATATTTTAATATACTAGCAATGCTTCTATAATCACATATTTGTTGACTTTAAATATCCTAACAATGGTTTTATAATCACATTATTATGTATTGTTAAATATTCTAACAATGCCTCTATAATCACATTATTTTAGACTTAAAGATATTAAAAAAACTTCTCTAATCACATTATTGTGAAATGTTTAAATATTCTAACAATGGTTTTATAATCACATTATTATGTATTGTTAAATATTCTAACAATGCCTCCATAATCACATTATTTTAGACTTAAAAATATTATTAAAATAAAACTTCTCTAATGGCATTATTGTAGATTGTTTAGATATTCTAACAAGGCAGGTCCTTGCTGATTAACAAAAGCAATGTTCGTGGATATGTGTTCCAGTCCTTGTTGAACAGACCTTTGGGCACTTTCCGCTTTGTGGGTTTCAAAAAACTTCTGGAAAAAAAAATAGGAAAAAGTTATTGTCTGAATGGTTACATTTGATGAGCTGGTTAAAAAAATAACAGGAAAAAGTTATTGTCTGAATGGTTACATTTGATGAGCAGGTTAAAAATAACAGGAAAAAGTTATTGTCTGAATGGTTGCATTTGATGAGCAGGTTAAAAAAATAACAGGAAAAAGTTACTGTTTGAATGGTTACATTTGATGAGCAGAAAAAAAATAACAGGAAAAAGGTTGTTGTCGGAATGGTTAAATTTGATGAGCCGGTTAAAAATAACAGGAAAAAGGTTGTTGTCTGAATGGTTACATTTGATGAGCAGGTTAAATTAATACATGTATGTGAAGAAATTTATCAGGGGGGAAAAAAGGACCAGACAAGGTGTAAGATTATGGTTGTGGTCCTGTGGAATATAGAGGACTATGATGAATACCTGGAGGTGGGGGATGTCCTGCTCCTTACAATAAAATATAGTATAAGGGTTTTTTCTGGGTGTTGCTGTTAGGCTTAGCGCTACAATAAGGATTAAATTGGGGAAGACGTGGTCAAATGGTAGAGCATACAACTGCTAACCCGAAAGTCTCGAGTTTGATTTTGGGTAAAGTTAGTAGAATATCCCTGAGTCCACCCAGTAAAGGCGGCTGGGCATAGTGCTGACCACTCTATCCCCTCATATGCAAAGGTCACAGATACTCTGCTTCACTTGCCCCATGGACCATCAAGTTCAATTTTCAGGTTAGCAGTCTAGCGCTCTACTGCCAAGCCACGCTATCCCATACACATAACTAGACCTACACATATTTGCAGCAAAAAGCTTTAAAAGACTGATACTTGTGAATGAGAGCAGCCTTTTATTCAGTCTGTAGAGGCAATGATCTTAGTAAACTATCAGATACAATTATTTACACACAGTTGCAACATACCAAAGATGGGAATAAACATACATAAACACAGCAATTTAAGTCCAAACAAAAAAGAACTGTTTAAGTAAAAAAAAAAACACTGACCTCAATTTCATTTTTTTTCCTGGTACAGCACACACCATCCGTCACAACCTAAAAAGTAAGCAAACAGCGAATCGTTAAAATACACAATAACACTGAATTATTCCTAAATTAAATAAAAATGTTAATTGCAATAAGTGACTAATATCATTATTTCCCCTATTAACAGAGCACAATGTGACATCATTGGTTTAAATGACTTAACACTTTACAGGCCTTACAGTTGCCATACTATGCATAGTGCGTAGTAGCAGAAGTCTCGTTAGTAACATGATTTTGAAGGAAACGGAAATTATACGCTTTCTTTACATTGTTTTCTAGTTGTTCTATCACTAGTGGCTCATTTTCTATGATTTTTCTAAAGTTAAGAAAATTACGGGCAATATAATTAGTGAAATTAAATATAATTTAAATGCCTCTGTCGTTGAATCAGGCTTTTTTTATACTGTAACTATTGAAAAAGAAAGTAGCTCCAGTGACTACGTTGAATTTTTTTAGCATTTAAAATAAATTTTTATAGAAATAATATTTGAAGTAGTGTTTTGTTTACGTATTTCTTAATAGCTTTTTATTCAATTTAAACAAAAAAAGAACTGTTGTTAAAAAATGCATTGTCTTTTAGACTGGCCGAAGGGGAAGTAAAATAGTTTTGATACCTCGGCCGGTAAAGGGTTAACACTTCAGATAAAAATGAACAGCTTTTTAACTTACTCTCACAATGATCATAAAACAGCTTTTCTTAATTGACTTACTCTCACTAATCTAGACAGCATTGTACTTGTTCCATAGCGCTGATATAACTCTTGCCAATTTTGTTGAACAAACTCCCATACACGTTCTCTCCCTTTAATGGAGCCAGTAGCTCCCCTTAGCACCTCTATACTATCCTGGATCCTTACTTTGTCCTAAAAAAAAGATACATATACATTTTTATACCATAAAACAAACTGAATTTAATATGATAAAACAAAAATTAATCAATTTTTTATAATCTGTGACAGGGGTCGGCAACTTGCGGCTCGCGAGCCGCATGCAGCTCTTTTGGTATCGAGATGCGGCTCTCAGCTCCATGCACAAATATTAATAATTATTTTATTTTAATTTCAAAACTCATAAAAATATTGTTCTACAACACTCAGTAATGAACTATTAATACTAATAGTTTCGCTGTCTGTGTATCTATCTGTGTATCTATCTATGTATCTGACAAGAACGCTCTAGAGAAAACACAAGGAAATTAAAAACATGCACAGTAATTCGAAAAACGAAGTATGACGTCGTATAGTAGAAAATAATCTGAAGCCGGAGAGTGCACACAGTAATATGACGTCATTGATTCTCGAGTAAACATTGAATAAAAAGGCAATTTTGTCTAATCTAAGTGGTTTGCGTGAAGAGTTTCTTTCATACAATTCTTCGGGTAGGGGCGAAGCCCCACCCCCGCGTAAGAACGTCTGACCCCCCCCCCCCCCCTAACTCAAAAGAAATTTCTTCATCGATACTCTATAATAAAATTACCGCCTAATTAATGTGTCTAATCTAAAAAGTGGTTTTCTTGCAATTTCTTTAATGCAATTCTTCGGGTAGTGGCTAAGCGCGACACCAGTGTTTCTTTCAGACTTTTTCCTCCCCGGAGAGGGGTGGGGGTACTTGAAATTTTCGGGGGCGGGGGTAGAATTCTCGGGGAGGGGGCGGACACTGGAAAAAGTATATAATTATATTTCGTTGAATGGGACGGTAGACATGTTTTTTTGGGGGGTGGGGGTGGTGGTGTGTGTGTGTGGGGGGTGTGTGTGTGTGTGGGGGGGGGGGGGGGGGGTGGGGGGTGGATGGGGTGGTTTTAGTTTAGAGAAAAGAGACAGCACTATCAGCCTAGCGCCCGTTGTACCCTTCCTCAACGGGCCATTTTTCTCGTATAATAATAATAATAAACAATAAGCACTCGCTTTTCTGTTAGAATATTAACTACTCCCTATTTCAATGTACTTCCTATTAACTTGTCTATCCCAAATTGAAACATTCGACTTCATAGGGGGATATCACAAAGAAACTAAACGAGCTAAATGTAAAACTGCAAAGAAATGAAAACCAAGAATATGCCTTGCTTGAAGAAGTTTATTTTGAAAAAAAAATTACTTCATTTTTTTGAAACGTGTATGTTTTTATTTGAATAAATATTATTTTATATTTAAATCTATTCATTTTAAAATGTTAGTGGCTCTTTAAAAAATTGGAAATTTGATAAATTGCAGCTTTTGGCTCTTCTCTCTCAAAAGGTTGCCGACCCCTGGTCTGTGAACTAAGTGATTGATTGGATCATGTAAAAATGTTGTATACTAATGGATAGTTATCATGAACAAAATGTGGGTTATTCACTGATAAATAATAGTTATCATGTAAATTTGTGGAATACTCACAGATAAAGCAAACTCTAGAACCTGTGAGATCAAAGACTCATCCAACACTGAGCCTAGCATCCTGGCTATGCGGTTCTTCTCAACCAAGGACTCCTCTTTGTTATATATCTGAAACAATATTATTTGATGCTCTCCCTTATTACAATAGTATTTGATTCTCTCCCTTAGAACAAATATTTTAGGCTGATTCTAGGAGGAAGTAAAAAGAAATAAACCGGGAGTGATCTCCCCTAAACTTTCTCGAATATTCTTATATAAAATAACAGGGGATGGGAACTCGGGCTATAGACATGATTTTTAATCCATTTTAAATACTTAAAGTTTTAAAAATAGAATAAAATCTCGTAGACAAATTAATTGCACACCAAGTGAACGCCAAATAAAAAAGCGCATAATAGTGCGCAATATTATTATTACTTTTAAAATTTACAATAGTTTTTTGAGAAATCGGAAGTAGCGTAAAGTACTACTTCCAGTCAACGGAAATGACTCAAAATTTGACAGAAGGTAGAGAATTAGATCTTTTACTTACATGTGAAATTTTGTTTATCTATCTGAAATAGTACTCAAGTTATAGGCTTTTGAAAAATTCAAAGTAGGAAAAGTACCACTTCCGGTTATCGGAAATCGCTCAAAAGTTGATACGGATCTACGATTTTGATAGAATACTTATATATGAAATTTCATCAACCTAGCTGTAACGGTACTCAAGTTATCGTGTTTACACACGGACAGACAGACAGACACACAGACATATGGACAAGATTGCAAAATTATGTTTTTCCGTATCAGTGAGGTGTGAAACGTCGAGATTTGTAAAAATCTCGATTTTTTTTTTTTGCACGATTACAAGACTTTCTCTATACTTCGTATATACGAGAAAGTAAAAAATATTGCCTTCCTTCAAAAACAATATCTTCAGTCGTATGAAAGTAATTGCTGCATCCATTGTTTAGTTATATCAGTAATTCTCTTTATTTTTTAATTAGTAATTAATCTAGCTCAAGTTTCCAATTATTTTGAATTAATTTAACAAAAACAAGCATAGGTCTTGATGGGCCAAGGATTAACTGATTCTTGATTCAGATTCACAGTGATAACATTTATAATTTGTTATTATTTTGATTTGATGTTACTCAAAATTAAATAAGATTTTTAAAAAAGATTATACAACATTTACAGACTAAATGCTTATAATAATAATAAAAAAAAAACCTATCTTTGAAGAGCCTAACTGCTGACTGGATTTACTAATTTTTTTGTAGTATTTAGCCTAATTTTCAGAACTATAAGGCTCACATAAAAATATTTTATAATAATTATTAACCTATATATTCAAGTAGTGAAAAACAAGGCTGACAATAATAGGACGGAAATTGTGGCTATCAAGTAAGATAGAACAACTCTCTCCTCTTAAGAAAATTTTAGCTTTAAACCTGAGCAACTAATTTATAGATGTGTGCAGGGGAGTGGGGTGTAAGCACATCATACTAACTAAACTCTTATTAACAGACACAACTTTAATAAAATAATGCAAACAAAAGAACATACCTCAAGCATCATACTAACTAAACTCTAATACAAGATAAAAGTTTAATAAAATAAAGCAAATAAAAGAACATACCTCAAGCAGCTTGTCAAACACTTGTTTGTCTCCATTAGCTAAAACTGTGGCATAAACCTGTAAAAGTACAATTAAATTTGTAGTAGAGACAAGTTCACTGTAGTATTTTACACCATAAAGCAAGTCATGTTTCCTTTTCAGACCTAACGGGTAAAAAGTAAAGTAAAGTTTCCCTTTCAAACCTGACGGTCTATGGGGCAAGTGAAGTAGAGTTCACTTGTTTCTGTGACCTCGGCATATGAAGAGATAGTGTGGTCAGCACTATGCCCAGCCGCCTTTACTTTCCCTAACATAAGTTAGGTACCCATCAGAGTTGGGTGGACTCAGGGACGGTCTACTGACTTGAACCCGGATTCGAACTCGAGACTTACGGGTTAGCAGTCCAGCTCTCTACCGCTAGACCACTCCGTCCCATAGACCTAACGGGTATCGGGGAAATAAGAATTCGGGTTCAAGTCAGTAGAACATCCCTGAGTCTACCTGAGTCTACCAAGCTCTGATGGGTACCTAACTCACATTAGGCAAAGTAAAGGCGGCTGGGAATAATGTGACCACACAATTCCTTCCGATGCCAAGGTCACAGAAACAGGTGAACTCTACTTAACTTACCCTACTTAGCCAGGTACCTATTACAGCAGGTGGATTTAAGTTTCTTAAGTGGACTTTCACTCTGGAACTAAACTTTCGACTTATCCACTATATATCCTTTACCATGCAATTCTATATTTTTTTGGTGTAGTAACATTATTGAAAAATTAAAAAATACAATGAAGATCAACTACAGTTATGTCCCCTAGCCTGATAATTAAAAAAAAACAAGGATGTGTCTACCTACTGGAGTTTTTAGGTCAGCATCAAGGCAACGGCTTCCAGTACAATGGTCCTCAAATCTTTTAAAGGCTTCGGTCACTGTTTTCTTGTTGCCATAGCGACCCAAGATCAGCAAGACTTGCTCCCTCATCAGTTTGAATGAATGGCCTTCAATGAAAACACTTTTCATTCAAACCAAATTTATATACGTTCCTAACATACTTATATGCATAAATTTTAACTTACTTTCAACATCTGATGCATTCCATACATATATTTTAACTTGCTTTTAAGATCTGATTCCTCCTATACATATTTATCTTACTCTCAGGATCTGACAAATCTCATACATATATTTTAACTTACTTTCAAAATCTAATGCCTCGTGTACATATTAATTTATTATTTACTTACTCTCAAGATTGGACACCTCCTATACATATATTTTAACTTACTTTCAGGATCTGACACATCCCATACATATTATTTAACTTACTCTAAAGATCGGATATCTCCCATACATATATTTTAACATACTCTCAAGATCTGAGGCCTCCTCTACATATGTTTTAACATACTATCAAGATTTGATGTCTCCCATACATATTATCTAACTCACTTTCCAGATCATACACCTCCCATACATGTTTTAACATACTCTCAAGATCGGATGCCTCCCATACATATTATTTAACTAACTCTCAAGTTCTGATGCCTCCCATACATATTATTTAACTTACTCTCAAGTTCTGATGCCTCCCATACTTATTGTTTAACATACTCTCAAGATCTGATGTCTCCCATACATATTATCTAACTCACTTTCCAGATCATACGCCTCCCATACATACATTTTTAACTTACTCTCAAGATCTGATGCCTCCCATACATATTATTTTACATATTATTTACTTACTCTCAAGATCGGATGCCTCCCAGCTTAAGTTCTCCCCAATCCTCTCAAAGGTTCGACACATCAAGGCCTTAAAACACTTCTCCTGACCCAGGGTAATCTGCTGTACCAGTGGCCGGAGCCCGGACAGCCCCAGCGCCAGTTTCCCGCAGACAGCGCTGTCCTGCTCCTCCCTGAAGCTCTCTGTCAGTTTCAGGACATCAACAGTTTCCATGTAATTAGATTTACACTTGAATAGATTTTAGGACCAAAAAAAAATACAACTTGTAACATTCAGTAATTAAATATTTTCTAAAAACATTTTGAAAATTGGTAACCCTCATCATATCATTATCATAGACTAGCTTTAAATATAACGTAGTATATACTGTATAAACTACATGGATAAATGTTCAATTGTAATGTATAAAAAGAAATATCTTCTACCTCACTGTATTAGCTCAATTATTATTATTGAATAATGGCCCTTTTATCACACTAATTAAAGAAAACTTAATATTTAAAAACAAACCACTAAATATAGAGAGTAAAATTTATACTTTTTAATCACTAAGACATGCAAATAAAAATGTTAAAAAACATAAATATTTAAAAAAATGAAACAAATTTTAAAATTACCAGGGCAAACAAATCTGTTAGAAGTCCGATCTTATCTTCAGGGGAGATAATGTTTTGCTTGACAGCTGGCATCAGGCGATTCAGGGTACTGAACTGGTACTGGACATGGTAGAACATGTACTGACCACTATTAACCTGCAGAGGTTAATATTTTTACATCTGTTAACATTTCTTACTGGACATGGTAGAACATGTACTGACCACTGTTAATCTGCAGAGGTTGATATCTTTAAATTGCTAATTATTCCCATCTTTTCCAGTTCATGCCAAAGACACGTGAGTCAGATGAAACAGAGTTCATCTGTTTCAATCACTTTGACATACAGGGAGATAGTGTGGTTAATACTATGCCCAGTTGCCTTACTTTCCTGCATGAAAGGCAGGTACCCATCAGACTGAGGGACATGATAAAGACTCAAGCCTGGAATCCGAGCTCAAAACTTTTTGAGTTAGAAGTCGTGAGTTCTACCATACAGCCACACCATCCTCAAACTCCTTATAATGATCTCAAAGCAAATTTTTCAAACATAGATGTGATTCAGCAAAGTTGATATATAAAACCCAAGAATTGTAAACAGTATAAAGCCTACCTTGATCCAGTCATCTGGCTTACAGTGAGGTACGTCTATGGTTAAACTATCTCCCTCTAATAGACCCTTCACTGCTGGCTTTGTTGGACTGTGGGCAGTTGTTATAGAAAATGGCACTATCCATCTCTGTTGTGAGGCTCCGCTATCTACTCAACAAAAAAAAAATCATTAGAGAAACTACATAAAAACATTTACACTTTTTAAAAACAATGTTGAGGAAATTATCTTTATTAAAATGAATTGAAGTAATAGATGAAATGTGTTGTCTTATTTTTATAAAGTATACAATTACTGCACCAAAAAGTCTCTTATGTTCTCAAGCTCATATCAGCACACAGTACTAGTTTACCCAGCATATATGGGTACCTACTTAACCAAATACACCTGGGCATGGTTCTGACAACACAATTAATTAATATGCTGTCATGTTTAACAGTGCACTTTACCATAACAATTAGTTGCACAGTCTGATGTGGTTTGGATGAAAATAAAATGATTAAGTACCTGATCTTCCTCGAGAGCAAAATTTTTCTTGTGACAGAATAACTTGCCTGATGTCTGAATTAGGAACAATCACTTCTTCTACCTTAAGTAGAGTAATAAAAGTCAAATTATTAGCCATGAACTTAAATTTAAGGTGTTCAATTCTATCAATTTAATTAATGCAATTCAATTAAATACGACAAAATATATGAAATAGCGAAGAACACTTCAACTAAAATTGAGCTAATTATGAAAAAATTCAATAGGATTGATCAATTCTTTAACCAACAGAGCAATAATTGTTTCAGCTAAGTAATCATTAAGTTCTCACAAAAATTTAATAAATTCAACAATGAAGAAAAAAATAGTTTGTAAGATCTTAATTAATAGTTTTTTGTATTGCAATTAAGGTAGAATCAAGCACCCAAATGATTTTTTCAGGAAAAAATAACTAAAAATACACTAAGTGTAAAAAAAACCTTAACAAAAAATAAAAAAAAAATACTAATCCAAAATTAAAATCCCCCCCCCCCCCCCCCCCCAATAAAAGTGAAAGTGATTAAAATAAATACATAGCTACCTTAATTAATGGGAATCCCATCTGTTTGGTCCAGGTGTCCATGATCCGGCTAATGTCCATACCACTGGACTCAGACAAGGCATCCCACATGTCCTTGGTTCTAGTGTTGCCAAACTTGTGTTTGTTTAGGTACAGCTTCATGCCCTTACGAAAGGCCTGCATTGGCAGATTTACATACCACATATCTTTAGCAAGATCTATAACTACGTAAATCGAATAATTTAAAATCATTGTCTGATATCAATATTTCAAACACAACTTCTACTTATATTACTCTCATAAAACTTGTTACACTACTAACACTGTCTTGCTAGCAACAATACAAAATTATGACCATCTTAAACAGTAAACACAAATCTTATCTCTAATAAAAAACCACAAACCTCATCACCAATGAAAGACTGCAGCATCCTAATAAGGCAAGCTCCTTTGCAATAGGAGATTTCATCAAATATTTCATCAATTTCACCTGGATGACCTACCTGCACCTGTATGGGCAAGACCAAAATACATTTTTTAATCTATCAGAAGACAAGCAGAGATCCTCTATATCAGAGGACCAAAATATAACTCCTTTTTAAATACATTATAACACATTTTAATGCAGATTTAATTTCTAATTTTACTGATTTTAGTTATTAGTTGTGGAAATGCATAGTTCACTTTTTCTTTTAAATGATGGTACAAACACCCAAATTTATAAAAAGAAATTCATATTACTGTGACAAAAAAGAAATAATAATTACTTATTTAAATATTTTAATCCCTTGGCATTGCGACGTTAAACTTATTCATTACGTTATTGCAAGAAAATGATTAAATCAGTCTTATTATAAAAGCTTTGTAAAAGTAAAGAGTTCTAAAAAGAAATATTTTTTATTCATATATAATGTTAAAAATGTGTTTTTTTTTTTTTTAAAATTATCACTCACATTTATAAACCAGTTTAAAACTTTAACAGAAATATCTACGAGATCAAAGAAAAACTAAATTAACAGTGATTGAGGATGAAGTAAGTATTCATAGCTATGGACCACTTGAAACAAAATAATTCAAGAAAAACAGAGACTAGAGATATAGCACCTAGCCCGGGACAAGAAAATCAAAGAGACCAGATGAAGCTCTATGGCACCAAGCCGTGGACAAGAAAATCAAAGAGACCACATACCTCTACAGCATGACTGTTGCTAAGTGCATCTAGCTCTAAAGCCCGACACTGATCAATTTTGATAAACTGCAGCCAAATGTCAAACTCTGGGTGAAGGTGGTCAACACACAGGTATTCAATCCAGGTGGCAAAACCTTCTTTCAACCACAGGTCTGTCCACCACTCCTGGGGATACAATCAAACTCTGGGTCAAGGTGGTCAACACAGTATGTACAAGTATTGAATTATATCAATATAAACAAAAACAATTCAATGAGGTAGAGACCAACTCACCATGGTCACCAGATTCCCAAACCAGTTATGAGAAAGTTCATGGGCAACAACCAAGGCTACATACTGTCTTGATGAGGCAGAGGAGTCGTTAGGGTTAACGAGCAGTGCTGTCTCCCTGTAGGTGATCAAACCCCAATTCTCCATGGCTCCTGGGTAATTAATTTTAAAAAGCCGTTAAACCAATGAAACTAAGGTAATCTATCGTTTTAGCGTAATCAATTCGGCTGCAGTAATAATGTGCGGGAGAGGTAACTGATGAATATATTTGTTTAAATAAGTATATTTAAGTCAAATTTGACAAAATATAACAGATAATTGATTAAAAATAACAATCAGTGACCAAAACAATTTAAAATAACATGAAACTAACTTTAAACTACGTATTTGAGATAAATATTAGTAGATAAAAACAGCGGCCATCTTTCCAAATAAAATTTAGAGTAGTTTCCCTTTATACAAACGTCTATTCGTATGTATATTGTGTTGACTTTGTTGTTTAATATACATAGTTGTCTTGTTTAATATAAGTAGGACAGAGGGCCATCATGTATGTATGTACATCCAAGATCTCAAAAACTTTTGGGAGGTCCACCATTTATTAAACCCTTTTGTACTGATGAACTTGTCAATTATTAGGTCGTCCATATTCTTCATAAATGACGTTGGACTCAAAATATGGGACGGGTTAAAATATTTTTTTCGTTAGAAATTGTGATTACGCGTTCGGGTATAGTAGAACTGCGAAATGATATTAAATCAACATCTTGCTTTTAGTGACGATTGGGGGAAAGGGAATTCATCGGGAAAAGTATGACGTCATTTATTAAGGCGAATTAGGCTGTCGCCTAGGGCGCTGTCCGTAGTGGGTGGGGGGGGGGGGGGCGCCAAAATGGGTTGGAGAAACAAATTGAAAGTTTGAGGGGGGAGGGGTGCAAATCGTAAGCTTAATTGTCCCCGTGCGCCGGGAAGGGTCGCTATGCCTCTGATAATACGGGGGCATAAAAAAAGGGGGGGGGGGGCGCTTTTATTAAGTTTTGCCTAGGGCGCTAAATAACCTGGCGCCGGCACTGTTTATGGGTGATCCATTTAAGCCTTGTTGTTTATTTTGTCTGTAGATATTGGTCTTAGGCCTACACTTTTTCTGAATTAAGATTATTGTGTTTATAAAATAGTTTTAAATTTTATTTAGTTACATCTGAATACCACATGTTTTTTTTTCTTTGCCTTCTGCTTTCATCAGTTTTTTATTTGTTCAGTAGTCGATGTTTACCCATCCCCACCATCCATTATTACAAAAACAAAAAACACCCACTATATAGTGATATCTCCCTCTAGAAAAAAAAAACAACTAGATCAACCTATAGTTCGTAGGAAAATTAGAATCTATCACTTATTTGTCTGTTAAAAAAAAGAAATACGTCATTTTTCTCAACCCCGCCGTTTCATCCCCCACTTAGCACAACGTCACTAAGTTCGCGGCGCACGTGACGTCATTTGTCATTAGGCTAATGTTAAAGAAAGAGATACCGCGTAATTAAAAAAAGTCAAATCAGGCACTATGGCGTTGAGACTTTAGCGACGTTTAGTCTGACGAATAGATCTAAATGACTTTAGTACGGTAAATTATATTAGTGTTTAATTTATTACACAGTGGTATGCGGTGCTCCCTCTACTCTACAAATTCACGTGCTTTTAATTTCTGCAACCTGCTGCTCTGAGACGTTCGGCTCTAAAATGCCCGTGACACAGCGGCCTCCGGAAATACATTTAGGCTCCCGGTCCCACCTATAAACTTCGTCTGCCCATTAAGCTCCACGCAAAACTTGTGATTGATATGTGGACATAAGCGGCGTTAGTGGTGGTGTCAACAGGGACCCCCTCCCCAAGCTCAGCTCTTAAAGATGCTCCGCACTTCATAAAAGACAAACTTGATGTTCAGACATCGTCGGACTCAGGCGTTTAGCCGACTGCCGTATTCCTAATGCACCGTCCACTGCTAACACTATTTCTATAGTAAACTCAAGCCTATACTGAGCTCTGGCTTTTTACATTAGCTGCTGTCGTATTAAGGGTTGATCTTTTGTTATGCCCCATGTCGCGAAACTTGCTGTTTTGTCCAATTTTACCTGCAAGCCAATAATTGTCGCTAGTTGGTTTGAGCCTTATTGTCAGAAGTTATTTCATTCCGAGTCAATGTAGTGCGGCCTATTTTCGTCGGTAGGCATTTAGTGGCAGGCCCTTTTTGGCGGGGATGGTGTGCTGAGGTTGTTTAACACCGCTTAGGACAACAGGCTTGCAATAGTTATGATCATTCGTTATGAGCAAAGGTATGCATGAAAACGAACACTTTATGTTCCTCATTTTCATTGAGCACAGCTTTATAGAAGTCTTCCATAATTGACGTCACTCACCCCCCCCCCCCCCACCCCGATCACCCTTTCATTATAGGTCATAAATTGCAGTCCTACGTAAATTGACGTCACATTAGAATAGCATATGTGACATCGTTTATGGACAACCCCATATTTCTCATTTTGGGTATTTGGTATCAACATTTTGACAACAAAAGTTGTTCAAAATGTGTATTGGAGGTTATGACTTGACATCTACCATAAATGACATCACGCACTTAAGGAGTGGAGTAACTGGTTTTCAGACGACGTTTTACGCGGGAAAGGGGAGGGGTAAGAAATGTGAAACGTTATGTATTTGGCCTATTACAAAAATGCTGAAACAATTCTTTTTCGTTCGAATTATGGCTTGACTTTTTAACAGTAATAACAGGCAGGGCAAAAAGGTAATTTTCGACATTACGACTATTTCGTGACGGCGAAAATGGGGGGGGGGGGGGGGGGGGGGGGGAGGTTAAGGTGAAGAGATGTCAAAAAACGTGACGTCATTTATGATTAAATCACTAATTAAAGGGAAAAAGCATGAAAATATGAAATGAAAATAGCAAATAAACAATAACACAAACAATAACAATTAACTCAAACTAATATTTAAATAAACATTAGATATGTAGTGGTAGCTTTATAAAAATAGGGAGTTTCTTAAAGTATAAAACTTGCATCTCATAATAATAATTCTAGAACTGATGTTTATTTTCATTCAATTAAATTTTTTAAAGGGCAGAATTAAAAAAAAAAACACATGCTTTACATTTAAACACAAGACAATCGTATTTAATAGCAAACATCTATACTTTTCCATACAAATAGAAATTAAAGGGAAATGACTCAAAATAATATTTTCTTAAGATGGCCGCTGTTTTTAATAGCAAATTTAGTATCTGGAACATCGTTGTTAAACCTTAATTTTATGACATTTTTATTGATTTAACCTTTAAATGTGGTTTAATATTCAATTATCTTTAGTATTTTAGTAGAATATGCAAAGATATATTCATATTTAAGCCATATTTATTAGTTACCTTATCCCTACATTACTAGTGACGACCGAATTGATTACGCTAAAACGATAGATTACCGAAACTAATAACACTCTATTCAGATAAAAAAACTATGTAAACACTAAATTTCTCATTTTTTAAATCATATTTCATTAATTAGGAAAATATATATTCCAGTACTTTAATAAAATATCATGAACATTTCTTCTTTTTAGAAAAGCTCATTATGTAACAAATTTCACACAAAAAATATTTTTTTTCCCCACAATATGTTGATTTATTTATTTTTCTGGAAAATTTACTTTAAAAAAATTCCATAAAATTGAAACCTTAAATAATAAAACAATAACTATAAAATTACAGCAATCACTATAGTATTCACATGGTGAAAATACTACGTTTCTTTTCTTTGAAATAAAGGCACAATAAATTATATAATTTACACAATTGAATACACATTTTTAATATAGTTTATCTTTTATCATAATTTTAAACAAATTATGTCTAAAAACTTTTTATCTTGATCTTCAATATACAACCTCATAAGTTAACAAATTAGTGTGCAGTTATACTGAGTTATCGCAAACATGTATATAATAAAAACATACCAATCGCAAACTCCGGGAGTGTGATAAGATCTAACTTTGGAAGGCCGTACGGGATATCAAAATACCACTCGTAATAGGACAGAGCTTTGGTGGCAATCTCAAGCGCAAACCTGCCGTGCTCCTTCCTCCCAGAGGGTGTGTAGACCCTGACAGGGATTCCATTGGATGTCACGTCCTCGACAAAATCATACTCCCCCACTACAAAGGCTGTTAGGTATGTTGACATGATAGGGGTTGGTTGAAAGGTGACTATTTTCAGGCCGCTGTTCTCTGGTGAAACTTTCTCGTTTTCAACAGGCTAGAGACGAGGATTAGGAGAATGTTACAAGGTGCAATAGTTAATGCTCATGTGTCACAATTTAACTACAGTTTACCACTTTATGATTGGATAAGATTGGTCTTACATTAAAATTGATTAATCATGTTTTAGATTAAATTTAAAAAAAAATTTGAACCGTAATAATCTACAAATACACTATTTGCAATATTTATTACTTAATGACAATAAAAATAACTTTGGTGAAAAAAAAATGGCCCATTTTAAATAACTGCAATTAAAAACAAGAACTAATTCAATTGGTTTGCATTAAAAATATCAATATACATATATCTAACATAATAAAATAGTTCTTTGCTGTTTTTAAATAGGTATGTTACCTAAAACACATAATAAAATACATTTTTTAATTAATTTAGTTTTCTTTTTATTTCCTCAAACACACACCATATTTGAAAAAGCTACTCTGTCTACTGGAACAACTAGTGTGAAAATAAATACAGCTTTGATGGCTGGCTCGTCCCAACATGGGTAGGCTCTTCTTGCTCCAGTGGCCTTAAAAAAGATTTCAAACTTATTCATAAATTCTAAATTACTTTTTTTTAATAAGTAGGTATAGCTCATTTTTAGTTATTCGCTTTCAATAATATTTTTTTATAAACATAGACTTATATACATTCTATGCCATCAGTTTCTAGGCAATTTCATTCCTTAAAATAAATATTTCAAATTTATTTCAGAAATTAAAAAAAAATATTTTGGTGTAGGTATACATCAATTTTAGGGGACATCAGCCTAGCGGTAGAGAGGTAGACTTCTAACCCATAAGTCTCGAGTTCGAATCCAGGTTCAAGTCAGTAGACTGTTCCTGAGTCCTAACTCATGTTAGGGTAAGTAAAGGAGGCTGGGCATAGTGCTGACCACACTATCCCTTCATATGCCATGGTCACAGAAACATGTGAACTCCACTTCACTTGCCCCGTAGACTGTCAGGTTTGAAAGGGCTTTACTTATACCTAAATTTAATTGTTAACTAACAATGTTTTTCATGAATAGAGACATCTACATTGTCATGATCCCACAAGTTTCTTGCCAATATCATACCTCAAAATGTGTACCAGCAGCATAGCGTATCTCTCCTTCAGATGTGGTGTATTTGTTTCTGTAGAACCCTCGGAGTTGATCGTTTAAATTCCCAGTGAACTCAAGTTGTAAACAGTACTCACCAGGCTAAACATTTAAATGTAAAGATGCAATCGTTACATTTAAGTTAATTGAAATTCAAACAGAATATCTACAGAATAGGGGAAACCAACTCTTTTGGGTATCTGGCATTAGCTGGAGAGAGCACTACACTATTTATTATTATTTTACAATAAAATAAAATAGATTAGATGTACTTTGTCTGTCTTTGTAGGCCATTACATCTGATAGTATCATACCTTCATAGATAATAAAATCAGCCCATAACCAGGTGAGTTTAAATCCACTGACATTTCATACTTGGAACAACAAGGTTTGTTAGTTTATTTGGTGGTTATATAAAAAAGAAACTCTGAGTCAAGCACACTATCATTTTTATGTTAAATAAGGTCCTTTCCAAATTTCAACAAATTACACTGGTGCCAAGAAACAACTACCTGTATTTAACATCTGGTCCATTGAGTTAACTATTATAAGTTCGAACGTCAGACCACCGAGTGTTACACTAATTAGTAGCTACTTACACTAAGTTCTTGCTGGAAAACAAGCTCCACCTTCTCATCTTTGTGGTTGTGATGAATGCTTGCTGTGTTATCAACTGCACCTAGTTATGACAAAACCATTGGACAAAAAAAAAAAAAAACCAATGTAATCTTAAAAGTTGTTTTGATTTTTGTAGCAAGATGTGTGAGAGATGGAAACAGTTATTATTAACAAAATAGTATAAATAACATAAAATACTTTTTCTTTCTACTTTGGTCTAAGGGTTTTGAAATAACATTTAAATCAAATAAAGCTATTTTCATCATCATCTTTTCCCATTCGTGCCCAAGACACATGGGGTAGATGAAGTAGAGCTCATCTGTTTCAATGACCTTGGCATTCAAGGGGATAATGTAGTCATCACTATTCCCAGCAGCCTTTGTTTCCCTAACACGAGTTAGGAACCCATCAGAGCAGGGGCATTCCAATGACTGAACCTGGAAAAGCTATTTTACCTCTTGTAAATCGCAAAAAGGTTAATCCAAGCTATGTTCATCCTATTATTGCTAAGCAAGCCGGATTCATGATCCATGACTAATCCCAAATCCTAATAGTGATATTAATATAAAAAAAAAATTACTTGATAGGACACAGCTTTGTTCTATCAGCAGTTTTAGAAGGAGATCTGTTTTTTGTTTAGTTTAAATCAATAGTTAAGTACTCACCAATTAAATGAGCTTTATGCACTATAATGTCAAATATATTCAACACAATCTTGTTAGTTGCACTCTTGACCTGAAAATACAACAAAATATTTTCTTGCTGTTATCAGTTATTTGTAGGCCTAAAGATATGTCAATTAATAAACAAAAGAAATTCCTTAAATTAAGAAACTGGAAAAAAAAGTGGTCTAATTTAAATTCTTTTTTAAAATGCAAAAAGATTAGTGAAGTTTTATTATAATTTAGTCTACATTCTTTAGTCTAATTAAATTTTTAAAATCTGTTAAATGAGTTTTGTTTAAAGTTTCAGATCTTTGTTTTTTAAGCCTTACTGTAATAGCAATTTCTTCAGAGCCTTTAAAAGTAAACAACTGCAAGTCAGGCTGTAGTGTGACTCTATACAATGTTGGAACAACATTTGAAGGGAGACGTTCAAAAACTTCTTTCGTTTTACACATTTTCCTGAGGATGCAAAGGGTTTTTTATAAAATGTATCATTTAATCAAAGCTAATACAACTAATACAACAAACAAGTTAGCTAGTTATTCTCAATTTGTCTAACTTAATAAATTAACTAACCAGATGGCACATTGCAAAAAATAAATAAATAGGCCCCTCTTAATTTTAATTAACTCAAATAATCTTGCTAAGGAAATGGGAAAAAACAACTACTCATAACATTACAATTAGGTTGTACAATTGTTTGAAAACTCCTTAAGCCTAGACTCAACTAGAATGAATTTATCACCCCAGCAATATGCCAGTCCAAATGCAATAATCTTTGAAAAGTAAATACTTTTTAAAGGTAAAGTTGCCTTTCAAACATGACAGTCCATGAGACAGGTGAAGTAGAGCTCTTCTGTTTTAGTGACAATGTCATACAAAGGGATAGTGTGGTCAGCACTACACCCAGCCAACTTTACTTTCCCTTCCATGAGTCAGGTACCCATTGTAGTGTAGCTAGGTGGACAGGGACATTCTACTAACACGAACCTGGGACTCGGATTCGTGACTATTAAAGCTAGCAGTCTTATTCTCTAGCATCCAACCACACTGTCCACAGGGTGTGGGGAAATTGCGAGACGCGAAAACGAAATGGCGAGGCGGGAAAATGCGAGAAGGGCGCGAAAGCGGTCGATCACGTGACTTTTTTGTCTCGCATTTTACCACAAGCCGATACTTACGCTGGGTGGTGTTGAAATGCGAAGATGTCTGCGAAAAATTTACCGCACCCGATTTTCAGTGGTATTTGGTCCAGACTTCAAAGACGTTTCGTTTACATTGTTAAAACTTCTGATTTTTCCGTCGCTAGACATACTGATGATTTGTCAACTCCCCCCATCTTTTGTGTCGACTTAGAATACCACCTTGTTCGAAACCGACGGAAATACCGCCGACGATAGATCAACTTCTGTCTTTTGTGTGGAACGCCGAGGACGCCTGATTTACCGTCTTTGAAGATCGCCGTGCCCTGATCCGCTGCCGCCGCAAACATATTTTCTATTGTTGCATAGAAATTTTGTATTATAGCCGCCGCCTACGATTTTTTTCTAGCTTTTTTTACCATATAAATCTAAGCACAAGGAAATGCCTACATCATTTGGATACAACTATTCTGGAGGTAAGAACTACTTACTGTGTGTTTTCTCTTCCAATGTTCCTTTACACTAATTTATATTAGATTTTATATCACGGTTGTGACTTTTCCATAAATAATTCAGAAAAAAATAACATCAAAATAAGTATGCGATTACTGCCATAAGTGAAGGTGAGGACTAGATTAACCCTCCCTTATGTGTTGCTTATTCCTAAGCTGTTATGAACTCTCAATGCCCCCAGTTTTTTTTTCTCTTACTTACTGTTTGGGGAAAAAATAAAGTGACGTCACCGATATTATCAGTTGCTCGTGCTATATCGTAAACTATGGGCCTACTTCAAATATTTTTAAAACCAAGTTGAACTTATCTGATTTTTTTGGTTTTGGTGGTGGTGTTATTTGGGGTCTTCCATAAATGACGTCACACTCGTGGGGGGGGGGGTCTGTAATTTTATGACGATGTGAGATAAGGGGGAGGAGGGGGGGGGGGGGGGGGTTAGATGTGAAGTCACACTATTAACATGTATAAACATGAGCGGGCTAGATTTTTAAATTAATGCCGACTGAGACGGGATTTTCCTCTCGCTAACAAGATCGGGCGATGACAGTAGCACAGCAACGATGTTAGGATTTTTAAATAGATAGATCTAGATATAGATCTATCTATCTTCTTAGTATCTAGATAAAAAATAACAACATACAACACTCGTGTTAAAGTGTATGGCTAAATGCTTGTTTATTTTAAAACAAAAAAAAATGAATTTAAATAAATAAAGATGGAAAAAAAAGAAAAAAACTTTTTTCGCAAAAAGTGTCTCGCTATTTACCCTTAATTCCGCAGGTATGTCTCGCATTACCTTCTCGCATTTTCCCGCCTCGCCATTTCGCTTTTCGCGTCTCGCAATTTCCCCACACCCCTGTCCACAATACTTTTTGTAGTGTCATTTCAATTGATAATTATGAAAGTCTGAGTTTATTAGTGTTGACGATGGGGGTAGGGTGGAACCGTTAACATACTGACTGAGTTACTTATACACATTTTGTAAGTAAAATGTATGAAAGTTTGAGACATTTTTCACAGGACAGGGGAGGGGATACTGGTTAATCTAGGAGTTAACTAGTTATAGTGTTATACATATAGTCTAGGCCAGGCCTATATAGTCTAGAGCAATTAGATCGGTAAAATCTTAGTTTAGCGTCGTAAATTCGGCCAAAACTAGTAATGTGGGAGAGAGTGAATTAATGAATATGTCATTAAATATGAGTATATTTTCGTATATTTTGATAAAGTATTATAGATAATTGAATAATAGATCACCATTTATGGTTAAATCAATTTAAATATCCTGAAATTAATTTTTATCAACCCTGTTCGAGATAGTAAATTTGCTATTAAAAACAGCAGCCATCTTAAGAAAATGTTATTGAGAGTAGCTTCCCTTTCATTTCTATTCGTATGAAAATGTATTTAAATATGATTGTCCTATTGTATAGTCCGTATTACAAAGCATTTTTTTTTAATGTGAATTTCCTAACAAACAACTTTATTAATTCTAGAAGCATTGTGAGATGCAACTTGTATCCATGTATTAAATCACGTTTTTTTACTAATGTTTATTTGATTTTACTATTACTATATAATTTGAGTTTTTTCTTATTGTTTGAATGTTCACTATTTTCATTTCAGGTTTTTCTTTTCATCAATTAGTAATTCTATTGTAACTTATGACATTTTTTTACTTCTCTTTACCTTAATTAAACCCCAACCTCCGTCATATTTTTGTCGTAAATGTCACAACAAGTCATAATGTAAAAAATTACGCTTTCCTCTGCCTTATCTAAGATCTCTAGCCATAATTTTGACAACAATAAATGTTTGTCATCAATTATATATACAGAGAGACAAAATGTATTATCCACCAGCTTCCCTCGTAAAACATCATCTAAAACAATGAGCCAGTCCACCCCTTAAGTGAGTGTTGTCATTATGGTCGATCGCAAGTCTCAACCTGCCAGACACATTTTGGTTATCCTTTGTTGTCAATATCAAGTACCCAAGTGAGTGATATGGGGTTGTCCATAAATGATGTCACATATGATTTGCTACGGGAGTGAGTGAAGATTTGTGACGTCAACTCAGGCGGGTCCACAATTTATAACGTGTCGGTCTCATGAAAGGAGGTGAACGGGGAAAAATACCTATGTGGTTGATGGAGAACCTCTGTAATGCTTTGTTCAATCAAAATAACGATAAATAAGCATTAGTATTTGTATACCTTGCTTAAACGAATCATCACAAATGTTGCAAGCCTGCTAGTTTAAGACATTTGGCAAAACGGCCGCAACACATTATCCCCGTCAAAAAGTCTTTCCACCAAATGCCTGCCGACGAATAAGCCGCGTCTAATGCGGGGCGTTAGGAATACGGCCATTAGCATGGGCCGCGTTGGAGCACCAGTAGGCTATCGCGCTGTATAAGATGACGTAAATACTTAAATTCAACTTCGCTAAACTGCGCGAAAATTTAGTAATGTTCCATCGTTTGAGGAAATTTATTTTCTTGGACTTAAATTGAATTATCATGTTGACTGTCTGGCTCTTAATTTCCGAATATCACTTTTAATGTATCAAGATTCAGAACTATAATTTACTTTAATATAAGTGTCATCTTATAGTTTATTGTGCTTTTTATAAAGCGCAGAGCAGCTTCAAAATCGGACGCCCATCCTGTTTTCACCCAGCTTCTTTTGGAGCTTAATATGGGTAGTCTAGTTCTACACGGTGAGAGCTTAATACATTTTTAAAGGGCCGAAAGTCTCAAGACAGCAAGCTTGCTGAAATAACTACGTACGTTTAAATGGACGAGTGATAGATGTGTTAGGGGCTGTTTAATGAACACCAACTTATGTAATCAAATTAAACGTCGCAAAAGCGTCAAAAAGCCAGTGTTTGTTGTTTTTTTTTCTATAAAATTAGCCTAACGGTCGGCGGTACCGGTACATGACGTCACGTGCGAGCGTTAACTCGTTGACGATGTGCTAAGTGGGGGAATGAAAAAGGTGGGGTTCAAGAAATGCGACTAGGCAAGCTTTTTACATTTCTTGACCCTTCTTAATAGTTCTATCGTCCCCACTGAGAAAATGGATCACCAATGAATGACGCGTCATACTTCTACAGCTGGTCTTTCTCCCACAACCATCCCCTGTTTTCACGAAAAAAAAAAACCTGACCCGTCTCCAAAATCACATCGCTGAGTTCTACTCAACCTCTCCCCGCCACAAATCACAATTTCTATCTGAAACAATATGTTCATATGTTTGCTCTGTAATAATTCACGCTGTCATTAATATCATAAGAGCGACGTCATTTATGTGCGATCTAATATTGATTTGATTACTGCAAATAAAGTGTTCAAAAGTTCGACCTCCCAACAATTGTTGTGGTCTTGGATGCACACTATTAAGTCTGAAAAAGTCTATTAGTCATTCATGTCAACTATATTTAAAAAAAAGAAAAATTACTATACAGGGGGTCATCCATAAATGACGTCACGCTTTTTTGACGATTTTTACCCCCCCCCCCTCCCCCACACGTCGTCACAAAAAGCCAGACCCCCCACCCCCCTAAAGTGACGTCACACCTCAGCCTACAACCCCCCTCAAAATTGCAGTTGAATTGTTTTTAAACAGCTATATTTTTCCAAAATCTTGTCTGAACTCTGTCAAAATAGAGTATTTTAATCAATTGTTATTACAATGTATTAAAACAGTTTTCTAAAACGCAAAATTACGTCTAAAATTCGTCACACCATGTGAACCCCCCCTCCCCCTCATCACACAACGTCACAAAATTACGGACCCCCCTCCCCCCTACGAGTGTGACGTCATTTATGGACGACCCCCAGGCATGTATTAAAACAATACAAAGCAATCATATTAAACCACAAAATCAACACAAAAGACATGCGAATAGACAATGTATTATTTTTAAAACATGGCCGCTGCTTGAATTTACTCATTGTTGTCTCGAACGGGGTAGTAAAAGTTTATTCCAGGATATTTATGACTGGTTTGGTCTTGGATTGTGATTTGTTATTCAATTATCTGTTATATTATGTAAAATATGACATAAATATGGCCAAATGAAAGAAATATTCATTAGTTACCTTCATCGCACATTACTAGCTACGTTGGAATTTACGACGCTAAACTAAGATTTTACCATTAGATCTAGTTAGACTTTTTCGGAAGAGTCAATCATTCAATCTCAATCAGCGAATCAATCGGGTAATCCGACCGATATCCGATCGGTACCCACCCACTACCCACCATGACCATATCAACAAGAACAAATCATTCAATCATCCGAATTGCCATGTTTTTCTTTACGAATTTAGACTATTTTGGCTAGGATTATAAGTAATGCTCTGTCTTGATGTTGTATTTATAGTGTGACTGTTTTTACCTTTTACTTTTAATTAGATCTAGATCTAGATCTCTGGAATAATTTATGTTTCAATACTTTAACTTAAACTTAGGCCTTGCCTACTCAGCATCACCAAGACCGCTAGGTTACTGACCTGAAAGGTTACATCCGGAATAAACATAAAATTGTCTATCATAACGTAAACGTATTGTTATAGATTCTAGGATTATTTTATATTAATTTTTTTAAATAGAATTACAATTTATAATATAGATCTATAAGCAATAATAATAATTAAAAACTTGGGCTATGTAGATTTATTTTATGGTCATGGACAATAATAACAAAATCAATACAATAAGTTTCAATAACAGTCATTAACAGGCTTATAAATAGGCTATATTATAAATAATTTTCCATATGAACCACTAAAAAGAAAAATGTGGGCTGCTCATTTAGTTTTAGTTAAATTGTGAGGAAAATAGTACATAATATAGCACATTCTAATTACTAACTCTTTAAAAATTATTTAAGCCTCCGAGAAGTCAAATTTACTGTCACATTGCATTGTCACCAGGTTTTGACTCACGTGCCAACTTTAACAAGGAATCGGTCCGTTAGAAGGGGTCGAAATTTCGCTCGCCGGTTTCGACCCATACCATATAGACTAGACATAGCAAGACACAGTAAGAAAGTTAAATTAAAGCTTGTAGAATAGACTAGACATAGCAAGACACAGTAAGAAAGTTAAATTAAAGCTTGTATAAAGAGTCCGCCATATATTAATGCCGTCACTTCGTCATAAAATGTATTAACACGCAAATGACGTCTTATTTGAGTCCTAAAAATTACGGATTGTTAAACACTATTTTTATCTACATTATTACATCAGCTGAGTTAATTTACAATATAAAAAGTCTTAAAATTTTTTTTTAACATACCCTCTTCACACGAGGTAGATCTATATACTTACCACTGGCACATTCATGTCTTGATCTACATTGTGATTAAAGCTATGTTGTGATCTATTTTTAATTTACATTTTAAATTATTAATGGGAAACAAGTTTAAATCAAGTGTATCTAATATATAAAGCTCAGTTCTGTATGTAATGCATTTGTATATCGTTGGAATTGTACGAATTTAAGTGTTAGAAAATTATCGTGCGCATTTGTCTAAATTTATGAGCTAAAAAATTACTATTGAAAGTGTTGGGAAATAATTTTCATTTTTCAAATTACAGTAATAATTGTCGGCATGTCCATTAAACACAAGTTTTAAAAAAAATATCATCTTTTACAAAAATTCTAATTATGTCTTTATTTAGTCCTATAGCACTTACTTCCCTTTGATAAATTAGGAAAAACACAATTACTTCCCTTTATAAACCCATTGCATTCCGTGAAAATAATTTACTTTTTAATTACTTTGTTTTGGTGTTGGGAAAAAAAATAATTACATAATTAGCGGGGATTGATCAAGTGCAAATGTTGTAGGTATTTTACGGATAAGCTTGGAGTATTAAAATTGTTCATCAAATTGAAACAGGCGCGTTCGTTTAAGTGAGTGCAAAAGACTATGAATAAGTTGGGGTACTATAGTCGTTCATTAAGCTAAAACAGGTGATTCCGCCCCGGGCGTTTATGTTCGCGTTAGTGTTTTCTTTGTGTTTAGGTGGGTTTGCGTTAGTGGTTGCGTTTTGATTTGGTTCGTTTTTGTTCTTTCTTTTTTCGTTTTTGTTTGTGTTTTTTTTTTTTTGGGTTTGTATTTGTGTTTTTGGTTGGTTTTGCGTTTGAATTTGGTTTGTTTTCGTTTGCTTTTTCGTTGTTTTTTTTTTTTTTTGTTGGTATTGGTGTTTGTGGTTGGGTTTGTTGTTAGGTTTTTGTTTTCGTTTGCTTTTTTGTTTGTTTTTTCTTTGTGTTTGTATTGGTGTTTGTGGTTGTGGTTGGGTTTGTTGTTAGGTTTTTGTTTTCGTTTGTATTTGTAATTGTGTTAGCGTTATGTTTGCGTTTTGTTGTTTTGGTTTTGGTTGGTTGTGGTTTGGGTGGGCAATGCCGGGTTTATGATGATTACTAAACACACAGGTAATGGTCTTTAACAGGAAGGTTTTTCACAGAAGCCAGAGCAGGGCCTGGCCGGGACGGCTAGTTTAAATATAATTTAAATATTACACACCCTATTCATATTTATTAGATTTATCTTAATAATAAAAATACTTTTGATAACCTCTAAAACTGAAGTTTCTCAGCATAGTTTTAAATATGTTTATAATGTTTCTATTAGTGCAAGGTTATATTAAATTATTCCTTAGTGTTTGTTTGTTTTACAAAATAGGGAATAGATCTATAGTGTAGCTGCTAGGCCCTGTTATCTTTTTTAGAAAAACAGCGTTTTCATCTTGATACGGAAAGCCTACAAGCTCTCTGTGTATAATGAAAAATCGAGGCAGCCTCTATTTGACTGCTGACACTGAATGAGGTCAGGGCTGTTATGGCGGTAGTGCTTTGACAGTAGAAGAGGTATAGTTGTTGTGTGTCACCTGTTCTATAGTTTGCATTAATCAAACCTCATGCTTGCATTCCAGTTTTAACAATTGTTGATGTGCATTTCACGGTCTTATACATTCGTTTGTTTAACGGTAAGTTTAATACCCTCTTCTTCGTGGATATTGTTGAATTTTGTTTTAGTTAGTGTTGGTAGGGGGGTGTATGGTTGGGGGTAGTTTATTTATATTTTCTGTATCTGTCATACTCATGGGTGGGTGTGTCTGACGAACAAGAATCTAGTCTTGCTAGATGATGTCTATAATAATTTAAACATAGACTCTCGATATAGTTAGTTATGGATCTACTTTTCTTACTGCATTTTTGACACTCATGAATGTACATTTAACACGTCAGTTGAAGTTAAAAATAAAACGTGGTTATTTCTGATTTCCAGTCGAGTCAGTGACAGTTCAGTCAGTAGCCTCAGCAGACAGTCACAGTGTCAGTGTGTCCTCAGTCTACTTTACTAACTTTTTACTTTACTTAGATTCTAGTTGATTAGTTGATACACCATTGATTAGTACTAATCTAAGTACAGTACTACTACACCTACACTGCAGTTCTGAGGAGAGTGCTAGCCTAGCTTATTTTATAATTTTAGTTAGGGCCTAAAACTACTAAAAGTATTAAATTAGTTAGCCTACTAAGTTAGGCCTATTAATATTAATTATTACTATCCATTAGGAGTATCAGGGCCTAACTTAACTAGATTTAAGAGGCCTAGTACACAGATTTAAAAAAAAAAAATTGGCTAAGCCTAAGCCCAGTGCCCTAAAAAACTCATTTGTACTCTGCACATTATGATTATGATTAAAGTCTAAACTAAAGTTTAGAGGTTAGATCTATATTTAGAAGTTAAGACATAGGCCTATGCCTATTTATTTTTTTAGTGTTTATTAAATTAATTAATTTAGGCCCAAGCCTCTGTGCCTATACAATATTGGTATTATAAGGCATTAGATACACTAGATAGATTATAATTATTATTATATTAGACATCACTAAGCTGTCAATAACAAGGCTCTTGGTCTTAACAGTGGTCAATATATGTCAGATGAGGTAGTGTTCATCAGAATATTAAAGTTAAAGAGAAAGTGAGATCAATTTCATGTCCATCTGCAACTATTTTCCTTAATTTGAGTCAGGTCTTGGTCGAAGTCTTAGGATCCCAAATTTGGGGATCTGAACAAGGGACTTATGCTGGCACATTTACCGCGCAAAAAAAGAGAAATAACTCAATCTTAGGTAAAGGCTAGGTAGATTCCAGTTACTTCAGACACAGATATTAAGTAACTGAGGTAACATTGACCTAGAAGTAGAAGACATAAAGTGAAAATAATGAAAGACATTATTGACATGCACTATACTTATACATTAAGCAAATTGCTTTGTTTGACTCGATAATTCTGGATATCAATATTAATTTATTGTTGATGTAGGTTTAATGCCAAGTTATTTTTCTGTTTTGTTTTAAAGGAGAAAGTTAACTTCATTACTTTAATGTTGATCTACAGTAAAAAATCATAAGCTATAATCTTACTAAACTGACATTTTACTAGATGATTTAACCCCCAAACACAACTAGAAAATATAACTTCACAGTTCACTATCATTGATAATGATTTTATAGGCTAATAATTTAAAAAAAAATAGTGATGGTTGATTAAGATATTATATTTGTTTTAAGCTTGAAGTATTTAGGGCCTACATAAAATAATTAGGTTAAGGCAATAATGCATGTTTTATTTTAATCTATGTCCATGGAACATATTGCTCCCCACCCATCTCCATCTTAAAAAGCTTACACATTTACATATAATATTCAGGTGTATGTTACAATGTCTGATTATGGAATTTTTAAAATAACAGTTTATAAAGGGTAGTAGACTACAAACCCATTTAACTTGCTGATACTACCAACAGTAATTTTTTTTAGCTAAGTATAAAGTATATCATAACTCATCTTTTTTTATACACCCTCAGCTAGCATTAGTCATTTACACTCGGTTGACAAGTACTGCATTTATGATGTTTTCCTATTTTCTAAAAATCTTGATCGACACTGATGTGTATGTAACTGCTAGCTAAATTATTTTTTTGTTGTTGTTGTCCTTACTGATGTGATCTCCTTTCAAGCCTTCACTGGTCACAAGACTGTCACTAGCAAAACAGAAAAGCTTGTTTCAGTATTGTGACAAATGTAATGCCATTAGGCTAGTGGGCTGGGCAGAACAATAGGAGCCAGGGGAGCTGCCCCTATTCCCCCCCCCCCCCCCCCCCCCCCACGCTAGAGAGCTGATTGACATTTCTATGTTGAAATACAATGTTCTGAATGATAAATGTATTACTCAGAATTCCACCACTTCCTTCCCTACTCTTCTAGATAACTGAATTTGGCAGTTTTTTCAGCCCTTGTTACTTCTTCATTGTATTAATTTTAAAAATTATAAAACTGTTGACATTATGTTAAAATAAAAAAAAAAACAAGAACCTTATTATTGGTAATACACTTCTATTTTTGTATTGTGCTTGGTACAGCTTTATTTAATTGTTCCATCCTTTTGGCTGTCAGCTTATTGAGATCCATTGTACTTTCACTCTCTCCTCACCTCTGTGCTGTAGCATCAGCTGATTCATCTCTGCCTCCCTATGGGAATTTTGGGGTGCTGGCCTGTTGTGGGATAGGAAAATATCCAATTAATGCTCAGTTGAGGGTTGTATGGAGTAATTAGTGGGGTTTATTGAATCTATTTCTGTAGGCTTTTTGTTATTCAGATAGTTATTCTCCCAAACTAGATTAATTATATTGATTTATAATGTATAATACTGAAACTGTGTATAGATTGTAGTTTGTGGTTCTGCATGGATGAGGGGGGGGGGTGTGTGCATTGTCAGAATATTTTCACTGTGTGCACTAAGAGAATTTAAACTTGACATTATTGCTTTGTTGTTGTATTTGTGTGCATTTGTTAGTTTGGTGTAGTTTTTATTGATTGTATTATCTGCATAGAGCCCTTGGTTGAATGTATCATCTGTATTAGACTAATGGGCCTACCAGTGACCAATAACAGACTCTACAAAAATTCATTAGTGGTATTGTAAAATGAGGTTTAGTGTTGTCAGAAATTAAGATAAGGGCTGCTGTAGGACTTTGGTTAGGGATAAGGCTAGCGTTGACAAAATTTATCTATTTACATTAGTAGGCCTACTCAAGTGTCAGTCGCGTCATTAGGTTGTGTGTCACCCAGTGCAGTAGCTGAGGGTGTCACCTCTGCCAAATCTGACAACTTAGCATTTTTGGTTTGGTGTCGCCCACTTCCCCTGCTATTTTAACCAGTTAAAACATTATGACATTAAATGTTAAGATTTTTCTATTGTGGTGTCACCACCTATCTAGTCACCTCCTTATGATGCCACTGTTTAGTTTACAACACATCTGTTTTCCAAAAGAAGATTCAATTCATGGGCACTGGTATAACACATACTTCGAATACTATGTATTTTTGTCTTACATTTCTGTGTAGATGAATGGGCATTCTTTTTTTTAACCATCTCTCACTATTATAGAACAGCTCTAGTATGCCATTTGCATGCATCAGGGCATTTAAATTAACGATTGTAATTTGATATACCCTTATGAATGTCATGATACTGAATGACATTTTGGGGTTGACTAGTTGTGTGCGTTTTTTGATAAGCACCGTGTTATTCGTTATTGTTAACATGTATTCATATTCTGTTTTAAACTAACCATAACTATTTAGTATTACACAAATCTAGATACTTGTGATTGGTTTGAATGGAGAGTACAGTATTAACCCTAGTTCCCACTGCTGTAATGAATTCGATGGATTTATATTTCTGTTTAAAAATTAAAATTAAAATGGACACGATTCCAAATACTGCCGTGTGCTAAAAATACTAAAATTTACCAGAATGAAAAGAAAAAAAAGGGGGTGGGGTGGGTATTAACCCCAGTTCACAAGTGTTAAACAAATTGTTCACTTTTTATAATTCTCAAGGCCGTGCTCCTGTTACTGTACAATAGTATTACTAATATACAGGCCTAGGCCATTATTCGGTCAGCTATTGATTGGTTCACAGATTGTGGCTTATAGCCTGTCTGAAAAGTAATATTTTTTCTCCTCCTTCTCTATTGTCCATTTTAAAGATTGACTCTAACCCGGGTCAAAGGTCACCTTGCTAGATCCACTGTTGTCGCGGTTGGTGCGAGGCAAATGAATGTTTTCTCGATAGCAGGAGTTCCTCAATGAGAGACAAGGCGAATCATACTCTCGTGTTATCGTCATCTCTCGTAGGTTTCATCTTGATTTTCCGCTGATGTTCCATCTCCCCCGTACAGTAATCATTTCTCAGTGTTGGACTTATGAAAAAAAAATGTAGGCTAGCTCCATAATTATAAAAAAAAATGTAGGCCAGCTCCATAAATGGTGATTTACTAGCACGGGTAGGATCCTGAGGGGGTCATCTATTTATACGACGTGTGTAGGTTAGGGGAGCGGGGGGGGGGGGTGGGGGGGGGGGGGGGGTAGACGACTAATGTGGACTACCGAAGTGGTAGCTTCGGCGTCATAAATGGATGACCCTTGACGTCAAAGAAAGGGCGGGTTATTAGAGAATGCTGGGTATTTTACTTGCCATAAAATATATATACATCTCCCCGATCAAAGCCAACACAAGAGAACATTAATTGGCAGCTTTGCTTACACATTAAATCTCTCCTGTGTTTTTTTCCAAATAGATGTATCAATAAGAAAAAAAACAACATAATTAAATTTAATAACAGGACATTTGACCTTGATGTTTTTTAAAAATTCGTTTTTGGTCTTCACGTTGATATACAATTGTGTCAATCTTAGACACACTTTACATAATTATGATTCGTGGATCATTTACCATAGTCATTGACACTGAAATGGCAGTATTGATCGATATTTTGGTACAGGGGCTATACAAGAGTGTTTTCCAGATAGACAGTATTTTGGTGTAGGAGGTATACTATAGTGTTTTAGATAGATACTGGCAGTATTTTGGTGAGGGATGTATACTACAGTGTTTTAGATAGATACTTACAGTATTCTGGTGTTAGGGGTACACTATAGACTATGGAGTGTTTACCAGATAGTCACTTGCAGTATTCTGGTGTGGGAGGTGAACTAGAGAGTGTTTACCAGATAGTCACTTGCAGTATTCTGGTGTGGGAGGTGAACTAGAGAGTTTACCAGATAGTCACTGACAGTATTCTGGCGTGGGAGGTACACTAGAGACTATGGAGTGTTTACCAGATAGTCACTGACAGTATTCTGGTGTGGGAGGTACACTAGAGACTATGGAGTGTTTACCAGATAGTCACTGACAGTATTCTGGTGTGGGAGGTACACTAGAGACTATGGAGTGTTTACCAGATAGTCATTGACAGTATTCTGGTGTGGGAGGTACACTAGAGACTATGGAGTGTTTACCAGATAGTCACTGACAGTATTCTGGTGTGGTAGGTACACTATGGAGTGTTTACCAGATAGTCACTGACAGTATTCTGGTGTGGGAGGTACACTAGAGACTATGGAGTGTGTGTTTGCCAACAGGATGCACCTCTTACCCACACAGCCCCTCTGTATTGGAGAGTTACTAATTATAACCCCAGGGTTTAGCTTGGTCGGCAGCCAGCGGTATACTTTCATTATCTAACCTCCCCCCCCCCTCACGAATTAAGCTGTTACACACACACTTATCAAACCTGCTGAGATTAATCTTATTCTTTTTTTTCCCTCAGTGTCGAGGAAATTGAATTTTAACATAGTTTATTTAACTTGTAGGTAGGCTAAATAGATGGGCAAGCTTCCGTGCAAGAGAGTTCTAGTTTATAGTCGCTTTGTCATTGTTGTGGATGTATCCAGCTTTTATTCAATGGTGTTGTAAGGGGAACGGCCAATGCGCTTTAATTCTGCTGTGAGGTGTCATACATCACATTAAATCGCATTGTCGTTTTTGGGAATGCCCGTAATATTATAGCCATTTGAAAGCCTCGTATCGTTCGTGTCATTGTTTGAGATACCTCATCACTTAGGGAATTATTTAGGGGGGGGGGGGGGGAGGTCTGATTAGAGCATCATTGTATCCCCAAAATGACAGATATCACATGTTAAATTACAGCTATTAGCGACACGTTCAGTTCATTAAATAAATATATATATATACATATATATCCATATAATAGTTTAGGCTTTTTTATACCCCACCCCATAACAAAATCCTGTCTACGCCACTGATTGTGAGCTCTGTCATGTAATGTCATAATTGGCTTCACCCTCGCATTTCATCATTGATGGCCGCCGTGTCATGGCTACTTCCGGTTCTCGGTAACTGTGTGTCTTGTTGTCATGTTTAAACACTATCTTGTCGGAGAGGGTTGCGCACTTGATTAGACGCAGCATGCATGCAGAAGTTTTGTTGGAGTTACATTTGCCTAACAAACTTTTTTCACTTTTCAGAGTGTGGGTGGGGGGGGGTGTGAATGCCAACACAATAGTTGTGGTTTGACGGTTGGTGTCCCGTCGTTTCGAGACCCTACGCGTCGCAGGTGGGCTTGTGTTGAAGATTAGCCCCGTGCGATGGGCTGAATACAAATTTCATGTCGCCTCCATGGTGTATTCAACGCGGAACCTATTTAGGTTTTAGTTGCTTGCTGTGTTAATGCTTGTTTTTAGATCGTCTTTTTAATTACATTTAAAAAAAAAATTCAGCTTAAAATAATTTCGACTTTTTTTTTTTTTTGCATCATGTTTAGATCTTTGGCCTGGGAAATTTACTGGTCGATTCGTCTGTGAAAAACTAGGATTGTGCATTTAGGTGGATTTATACAATTGATGCTATTGGTTGGTAACATTTTATTACTACGACTTTCAATAGTTATTTAAATTTTTCAACAGTTTCTCTTATTTGATACGTCTTTTAAAATCTCAACATTGTAAACAAAGTAATTTTAAGAAACTGAATTCCCTAAAGTGTCCGTGTGTTAACGACCATTGAAGTGTTGTAGTACTTGACTGATCCGTTTAAAATGATACGTCTCCACTTGACGCTGTTGACGCCAGCCTTGTGTAGAAACTCCGGCGTCCACCGGCCTTGAAGCGTGTTTACAACATGGCACCCCGCTCGCTTTTGTTCCAGCAAACCGCATCGATGCTTACCAATTAGCGGGGATGTAATTATCTTAAAGTACTCACTTATCTGCCTTCTCGTACTTTAGTTGTGACCTTTTTTTTACGCATTTGGGTATCTGCTTTTTCTGTCTGATAAGTTGGATGGTAGAAAGATATTTACCCTTACTTAAGAATTTAGTTGGTTCAATACGGAATGTAATGGATTGAAACTTTAGCCGGGCGTGTTCAGTGCTTTAGTCGGGCATGTTCAGTGCTTTAGTGGGGTATGTTCAGTACTTTAGTGGGGTATGTTCAGTGCCGTTTATCGCTACCCTAAACCTGGTCATAACCTGGTCAACAATGGTACTTAACTTGTTTTTGACTGTTACTCCCCCCCCCCCATTCATGACCCTAACTTAATCCTTAGTCTTTAGACGTTGCTGTATTGTTCAGCTTTTAAAAAAATAATTAATAAACAACCCACGGACAACTCATATTGCTGGTTACATCATCATATACGTGCAGTAAATACACACAGCCACGTGTGTGCCGGGGTGCGACCTGGCTTGCCAAAAAATGAGAACATCTAAATTTAACTGGCCCGTGCTAAAAGTGCCTCCCGTATCTGATATACTGACGGGGGCAACGCTTTTGTTTTGGCACTAGTTCAAGCTGCAACTATCTTCCACGTCTTTCACATTTGTGAGAAAGTTCCCTAGTCTGTTGTGTGAACTTAACACTAAACCAATATGTACGTGAAAACTCAACTGCTTGTACGCTATGATTTGATACTATTTGGTCGACGCTATGATTTGATACTATTTGGTCGACGCTATGATTTGATACTATTTGGTCGACGCTATGATTTGATACTATTTGGTCGACGCTATGATTTGATACTATTTGGTCGACGCTATGATTTGATACTATTTGGTCGACGCTATGATTTGATACTATTTGGTCGACGCTATGATTTGATACTATTTGGTCGACGCTATGATTTGATACTACTTGGTCGACGCCGCGCATACTTAGTTACAGGCCTCGCCTTTGAAGATAAGCCCCGCATTTGTTTGGATAGTCCGCGAGTAAATCTATCAATGCTATCTGGTATCTTACATGTAAATAACTGCCCATGGAAAAAAATATTCACGTTTTAATTATTGCTTCGTGAGATCTTCATTGCTATAACATCTACACGTAGCCTATGTCTTTTTCTTTCACAACTTTAAAAATACTAGGAACCCTATTTTTTCAGATGACGAAACAAATCCTTTTGTTGTAACTTCAGCTTCTAAATATTTTTTCCTCTGCTTCACTGTATTTAATAAACCTATGAAAAGGTGCGTCTTTCATTTTGGAGTTAAGTAAACTGTTGTGTCTAGGTTCAGTATAAAGGTCGATAAATACGGTTTCAAAGTAGTAAAAAGTATCTGCCCATTAAATGCCTTAATGTGAGATAAAATATGTATTCCTGAATTAATTTTTTTGTTTTGTGATTATTAAACCCAGGCTTAATGGTTTAGTTCAGTGGCGTGTACAGATACCGGTTACCCCACTCCACATCAACATATATTAAACTGTAATTGTAAACAACCCCCACGCCCCAAATTAACATCTGTTAAACTGGTAATATCCCCACACACCACACCACACCAACACCTGTTAAACTGTGAACATCCCCACACCAAAACCTGTAAACCTGTGAACATCCCCACACCAAAACCTGTAAACCTGTGAACATCCCCACACCAAAACCTGTAAACCTGTGAACATCCCCACACCAAAACCTGTAAACCTGTGAACATCCCCACACCAAAACCTGTTAAACTCTGAACCTCCCCACTCCAAAAACCGTTAAACTGTGAACATGCCCACACCCCACACACAAAACCTATTAACCTGAAAACCCCCTTGCCTTTGTGTTGGAGAAATGGGGTATATTTCCCAAGCCGCAATAGGAAACCGCTCTCAGAATTTGATAGGTTTCTGGTCAAACGAAAGGCAGCAACAACATAGAAATGTAGGGCGATTGAGATGTGTGGCCTGGATACATTCAAATATTGACACAGAATGTAGTGGGTTTACCCCCCCCCCCCTTCCTTGTACCTAATCTGAATCCCCCATTCCCTTTTACATCCTTAAATTGATAGTGTGTGTAACTACACCACAGTTGTGGTTGTCGCTGTAGTTCTGTAGATTAATTTCTTCGCGCGATCCCCACCCACGCGCTCCAAACCCACCGTTAGACAAACTGTCGATTAGTACTGATATACCGAAATCAGCTCAACTCGCATTGAACTGAAAATTTACTTCTAAAGAAATGCGATCATTGAATTAAGCAACTCCTCTGGTTTTCACAACATGGCCATAACTTGTGTTCAATTCTTATGGCATGCTGTCAAAATCAAGCTGCTGTCAACTGTAATGCGGTATTGTAATCAACACTGGGGGGGGGGGGGGGGGGGGGAGTTAACCGCTCTTCCATAATTTAAGAGTTTATTTTCCATCTCCTGCCTCATCAATTCCTAATTGCGTGTTTCAAAAATAGCATCAGGCGATTCTATATTATTAGCGTCTTCTTTGACAAACTGATGAGGCAATACTGAATCGTGGTCGTGTCATTAGTGGGGAAGTGATTTATCTAAACCAGCGGTTCTTAAGCTGGGTTCGATCGAACCCCATTCAGGGTTTAGCGGAGGTCAAGACACACACCCGACTCGTATGATTCACGTTCGGATTTCGCCAGTGCTTGCGGTAGAACTAGTTACAAGGGTTTGGTGAATGCATATGAAACTGGTGGGGTTCGATACCTCTCAAAATATTAAGAGCCACTGATGTAAAGTTTTTACCAGGATTATCCGCTGTTTCAGGTTTCAGGAATGGAACAGAGTGTGGTGTTTAGATGAGGAGGCACACAATGTATAAATATAAGGGAGTCGACGTGGTCGGGTAAAGCTCATGGTTGCTAAACCGAAAAGTCCTAGTTGGGGCTCGATAGCTGGGGACAGCAACCCATCTTGGAGAGACAGCTCTAAAATCAAACAACTGCTGCCTTATAGTTTGTTCTTGGATAGACATAGGTTATGGAAGCAAATCCAAAAACAAAAGCATGCTGAAATCGGAGTCGATGGCTTTAAGACGCATAACAAGTTAACACGTAATGGTTGTTTGAAGTAATCCCTTTCAATATTAAAGTGAACTACGAAGAAGAAGCAATATCTATACACACACATACAAACATTCGTAACCTTGGACGTTGTTAACTTTTATTGTATAGAAGTGTTGAAACCGTATGCTGTTTAAAAAAAAAACCTGTAAGGATGCGGATCTAAAGCAAGCTTTCGTGAGCTGAGCGCTTGAGGAGCACGCATATAATGTACTGGTTTGGTGGGTCTAGAGACAGGGAAGCCGTAGACGGTGATGGCTGATCCGTCAAGTGGAAGTGGATCTGATGTGGACGATGATAGCTCCGGGATCCATTAGCCTTCCTTGTGACACCCTATCTTCATGTCACCCCCCCCCCCCCCCCCAAACTCAATTCCTCAAGCCTGATCAGGACGAATATGTTAATCTTGAGTGTCGCAGCGTCGTAGCTGATACTCAATATGTAGGTCATATATTCTTTGTATTAAGCATGTGTCTTGCGTTGTGTCAACACGTTTTTTTTTGTTTGGTTTTTTAATTTTTATTAAAAAAAATGCTATGTTGACTCAGGGACGTTCGACTGAGTTGGACCCGGACTCGAATCCGAGACTTTTGGGTTAGCTCAGGCGCTCTGCCTCTAGGCCATGGGTCTCCAAACTTTTCAGCCCGAGGGCCGCATTAACTATCAAATATCAGTTCGGGGGCCGGAGTTTCTTCAAGACATCTCTTCGGGGTGGTAGCGCCCCCCCCCCCCCCTAACGAAATATAATTTATATAGAAATATATAAAAATTTCAAGTGTCCCCCACCCCCCGGAGAAAAACGTCTGAAAGAAACACTGTCGGTGGCCAACACTATACTCGAGGTCCAAGTTTGCTCTCAAATTATTCTTCACGTATTTCATTCTTGAAAATATTTGTTCACACATGTATCTTGTTCCAAAATTTGAAAGGTACTTTGATGATAAAGTTTTAATATTAGGAAAATCTTCCTTTTGCAAAAACTTATACAAACCCACCCGCCCTTCTTTGAACGTGTCTCTAATGACCTCCAGCTGCAGTTCATCTTTGCAACTGGCCACATTGGCTTCAAATGGGTTCTGAAATAGTCTCATTTTTATCTGCCTTTGAATTCAAGTCAGAAAATCGCTACCTAAACTGCTGCTTGAATTCTTTGAGTCTTAATCCACACCTCTAATGAACATAGCAGTTGAGATGTGGAACAGCTGTCCAGTAACTGATCCATTACAATTAAAAAATTGCGAAACTTGCTTGCATTTGTCGCTATTTGAGTCACGATGTTTTCACCAATGTCTGCAACACGGCGGGCAATGGTATTTGCACCCAAAGCTACATTTTCAAATTGTTTTTAATTTTCTGGGCATAGTTTCTCAGCCACCTCTAACAAACATTTATTCCATGGACAAAGGATCGCCGCGGGCGAACAGAATCTCGTAGAAAAAAGAATTGCGCACCAAGCGAACGCCAAAGCAAAATATGCATAATAGTGCGGAATATTATTAGTACTTTATAAATTCACATGCGTTTTTTTGAGAAATCGGAAATAGCGTAAATTACTACTTCCGGT